CATATGGTTTTATATTGGATGTTTTTATGCTGCACTCAAATTACCCTTCGGGGACAATAAAGTGAACTGAACTTTAAGCAACTATGTATTTCTGAAAACATGGTTAGACTTCAAGACTTGGGTTGGAATGTGCACACACACAAACACATGCACACACATTCTCTCACCATAGTATACTTCCTATATACTACTATATCCATCTCAATTCCTGTCCATTTCCAGAAACAGGAGGAGGAGGAGGAGGAGGAGAAGAGGGAGAGGTGCAGGGTGCCACTGGAGGAACCGGAGCACCCCCAGGGAGCTGTGGTGAACGTGGCCCTGTCCCACGGCTCTCTAGCCCGCACAGCCGCCGCCCGCATCTCAGACAGGGTTCTCCGCGACACCATCAACATCCACACATACCCACCTGTCTACAACTACCTCACCAAAGAGGTGGGTCACAGAGGAGGCAGAGGGTAGTCATGTTATTATTACTACTTAGTGTGAGTGACGATGATGATGATGATGATTATACTGTTACTATCATTATGACCCACTCTCTCTCTCTCTCCTGTTCTCTCTCTTTTTCTCTAAACAGCTTGAACTCTCCTCAGTGCGATGGCTGGATCGTAACCTGTTTGCCGGGGAAGAAATAAAGGAAGTCTATAAGGAGTTATCCAAAAGTAAATCTACACAGTATCTCAACTTCGATGAGGTGAGATATACTCTTTTACATTGCCTGTTGAATTTATTTAATTCAGGAAGTATTGACATTTCAATTCAAGAATGGAAAAATCCATTATTGAATTGGCAATTGTTGAACCAGAATTTCAATGAATTTCTTGAATTTCAATAGAATTGACCCCCAAATGATCTGTTCCTTTCCCCTATAGGACCCCATGATAGAGCCAGCCCTGACCAACATCAGATGGAGTCTGAAGAAGAAAAACCACCAGAGGTTCATCAACCCACAGCTGAAGAGACAGAACACCAACGCCATGTCCCACAGGTACTGTACCCTACGTCCCACTTGATTCAACCCCTGAACACCACTTTAACACGCTCTCTCTCATAATACAATTACTTTTCTGAAAGAGAGCTGCAGCTCTCCCAAGGTAACTCAAAGTGTGTGTGTTCGTACGTCTGTGTGTCTGTGTGTGTGTTTCCAGAAAGAGGACCGAGATCCCAGAGGACCAGAAGAAACCGGAGGACCAGAACTCCCGGGCCTACACGGCCTGGCTGCAGTGGTGGAAGACTGACCTCTCAGTGGAGGACTACCTCCGATACATCACCGATCAGGTCAGAGGTCACACATTCTGTAGTTACAGGAAGCAAATAGAAGAAGACATTCTAATTAATAGAAGGCAGTAAATGCATAAAATCGATTGAGTAACTAGAAGAAAATCAACCAGTTTTGTGTGCAAATAAATCTCAATAGACTTTTGAAATGGACCATAGGTTATGCATGTACATTTTAGACAGGGCTTGACTTATTTCTCGTGTTTTATTGTTGTTGTTTTTTAGCAGTTCTACTTTTTTGTATTGAATACTGTGCCATGTTGGGTAGGGGTTGAAAGTTAAGCATTTCACTGTAATTGAGCATTACAAATAAAACGTGAAACTTAAAATAGGTGCCGGTACTCATTTAGGGCTTGAGTACTGTTCATATTTAGGTGCCGGAACTTCGCAATATTTTCAGTCATTATTCTATGAGGTGCCGGACAACAAGCAGTAGAAAAGTCAAGGTGCCAGTACTCAGTACCAGTGTTTTTCCGGGCCCAATTCAAGCACTGGATACATGTCCAGTTATTTACATGTCCAGTTATGTACATGTCCAGATATTTTAGTGGTATCAGAGAGTGATTGACTAGGACTGTGTCTGTGTAGGACTCTGACTACCTGTGGGCGGCGTTCCACCTGTACGACAGTGGCGATAGTGACGATGAGGAGGACGAGAGGAGAAGGCTGCTCCAGCTACGACGAGACGAGAGGAAGAAGTCTGTCGGTCTTACTGTCTGTCTGTCTGTCTTACTGTCTGTCTGTCTGTCTGTCTGTCTGTCTGTCTGTCTTACTGTCTGTCGGTCTTACTGTCTGTCTTACTGTCTGTCGGTCTTACTGTCTGTCGGTCTTACTGTCTGTCTGTCTTACTGTCTGTCTTACTGTCTGTCTGTCTGTCTGTCTGTCTGTCTGTCTATCTGTCTTACTGTCTGTCTGTCTTACTGTCTGTCTTACTGTCTATCTGTCTTACTGTCTGTCTTACTTTCTATCTGTCTTACTGTCTGTCTGTCTTACTGTCTATCTGTCTTACTGTCTGTCTGTCTGCCCCACTATTTTCCTTCTTTTTTCCTCTTTTTTTTTTGTCATCATGTTTTTTACATTATGGGGACTGCGAGCAGCTAACAAATCAGTGTGTGTGTGTGTGGACAGGAGGCGGAGGCAGAAGATGGAGGCTCTAAAGGGTCAGAAGCAGGAGTACGTGACAGGGCTGTGGAACGTCAACGCGGTGCTGCTGGGGGGGCTGTGGAAGGAACCCGAACTGGAGGGTAACACACACACAGGCACATGCACGTGCACACACACAAACGCACATACGCACACACACACACTGTGACTATTGACCATAGTAATGTAGTGAGTCATTCAAAAGAAGGATGTTCCAGTCAAGGATTGTGAAATAAAAGGTTTAAAAAACAGTCCTGATTTAGTAGGTAATGTCGTGGCTGTCATGGAAACATGACACTTTGGCTTTGTGACACATTGGTATTAAACCTGTTTCATAGCCTATTGTTTGTTTATAGACTAATAGGTAACCTATTGTCTGTTGATTTTTTACAGAGGAGGAAGAGAGCCCAGATGAAGAAATCACCAGCCCTAAACAGGTGTGTGTATGTGTGTGTCTTAGTACACAGATGATTTTGAAAGTATTATTTGTCTTTTGTGAAGACGTGGCACTGGCCAGCTGGCCAAATCCAGTAAATGGATACTATAAATGTACTGTAAATAATAATAATATGCCATTTAGCAGACGCTTTTATCCAAAGCGACTTACAGTCATGTGTGCATACATTTTTTTGTGTATGGGTGGTCCCGGGGATCGAACCCACTACCCTGGCGTTACAAGCGCCGTGCTCTACCAGCTGAGCTACAGAGGACCACATACTATAAATGTACTGTAAATGGATACTATAAATGTCATGTAAACGGATACTATACAGTAAATGTCACGTAAATAGATATACAGCCATTGTAATACAGTCAGGTTTTATGTGTCATATAGACTGGGAGCCTTCGATCTGGGTAGTTCCCATCATCTCTCCTTCCTTGTCCCATTCCATCATCTCTCCTTCCTTGTCCCATTCCATCATCTCTCCTTCCTTGTCCCATTCCATCATCTCTACTACCTTGTCCCATTCTATCATCTCTACTTCCTTGTCCCATTAAATAGTAGGAACTAACCAGGATGTCACCAAGGTCTTCATTTTCTGTTTTCCCCATATTTTTTTTATTGAGCAGCCCTCTTGGCCAGGTTTCCCTACTAAAGGAAGTATTCTGACCTCAATGGGACTTCCTGGATGAATAAAGATTAAATAAAGAATTCATTATTTATTTTTTAAATAGTGGTCAATTCACCAATTCATGCATGGTAAATTGGTTGAATTGAAATGAGTTGAATTGACCCAATCCTAGTACTCCATGTCTGTAAGAAGGCCCAATTCCAAATGAAACTCTAGCCCCTACCCCTAGAGTTTTGGAATGGGAAGGAAAGGTATTACTTAGCAACATGGTAACATCACCACATAGCCCTAAGGCCTCTGCTATTTTAGTGGAAATATTTCCCATATTTCTTACAGCTCAATTCCTTCAGATCTACGCAAAGACTCATAACGGTTCGGGGCTGATTGGGCCCCGTTCCAAATCAAACTCTAGCTCCTACCCCTAGAGACTTTATGTAGACTTGAATTGAATAGGCCTTAACAATATGGATACTATTTCCCCCAAAACTGTTTATTTTACTAACTGTCCTCGCTCCCTGTCAGAAGGTCTATAGGAGGACAGTGACTGTGGGGAGCAGGCTGGAGAGGATCTGGACACTCCTCTGCCTGCCCGACGCCCACAGACTGGACATGGCCATCAAGTACAGCTCCCACGCACACAGGGACCAGCTGGAGAAGGTGTGCACAGTACACTGACACACACGCATACGATAACAAATACATACAAGTGAATGCACACTCACTGTACAAGTATCATGCCACCATCTATAGCAGGGCTGTCTAATTCTGGTCCTGGAGGGCCGAAACACTTCTGGTTTGTGTTTCTACCTGGTAGTTAATTGCACTCACCTGGTGTCCCAGGTCTGAATTAGTCCCTGAATAGAAGGAGAGGATGAAAACCAGAAGTGTTTGGACCCTCCAGGACCCACATTGAACAGCCCTGATAGAGGTTAGTAGAGATGGTGGCATGATACTTGATGCTGTGCTCATATTACCTTACCATATCACCATAGAGACAGAGCTCACCATATCACCATAGAGACAGAGATCACATATTACCATAGAGACAGCTCACCATAAACCACAGACACAGAGCTCACCATATCACCATAGACACAGAGCTCACCATATACTAGCAAAATCTCTTCCATACCTGGAACAGAATTGTGTGAATGTGTGTGTGTATTCATATATTTACATTTACATTTACGTCATTTAGCAGACGCTCTTATCCAGAGCGACTTACAAATTGGTGCATTCACCTTATAGCCAGTGGGATAATCACTTTCCAATGTTTTTTTTTGTTGTTTTTTTAGGGGGGGGGGGGGGGGTAGAAGGATTACTTTATCCTATCCCAGGTATTCCTTAAAGAGGTGGGGTTTCAAATGTCTCCGGAAGGTGGTGAGTGACTCCGCTGTCCTGGCGTCGTGAGGGAGCTTGTTCCACCATTGGGGTGCCAGAGCAGCGAACAGTTTTGACTGGGCTGAGCGGGAACTATGCTTCCGCAGAGGAAGGGGAGCCAGCAGGCCAGAGGTGGATGAACGCAATGCCCTCGTTTGGGTGAGGGACTGATCAAGCCTGAAGTACGGAGGTGCCGTTCCCCTCACAGCTCCATAGGCAAGCACCATGGTCTTGTAACAGATGCGAGCTTCAACTGGAAGCCAGTGGAGTGTGCGGAGGAGCGGGGTGACGTGAGATAACTTGGGAAGGTTGAACACCAGGCGGGCTGCGGCATTCTGGATGAGTTGTAGGGGTTTAATGGCACAGGCAGGGAGCTCAGCCAACAGCGAGTTGCAGTAATCCAGACGGGAGATGACATCCGTGTATGTGTGTGTATTTCTACATCCGCGTGTGTGTTTCTACATCTGTGTGTGTGTGTGTGTGTGTGTGTGTGTGTGTGTATTTCTACATCCGTGTGTGTGTGTGTGTGTATTTCTACATCCGTGTGTGTGTGTGTGTATTTCTACATCTGTGTGTGTGTATGTGTGTTTCCTCCCAGGCCACAGCAGCATGGGAGCGCGCTGCCCGTCTCATCCAGCAGAGGGAGTCTGTGCTGGCTCGTCTGGAGCTGTTTGAGAGGGAGGCTTCTGACCCCAACCGCTTCTTCCTGCAAGGTACTGCATAAGATATATCTGCTCTGGGGTGAAGTTTCCCCTCTGTGCAGATATAGGATCAGCTGTACCTCCTACCAAACCCTAACCTTAACCATTAGTGGGGGAAATGCAAAACAGACCCAAGATCAGCGTCTAGGGGAAAGTTCACTCTACTCTGACATCCCTTACATCTCCTTACCATAGGAGGCTCCTGAGGGGAGGACGGCTCATAATAATGGCCAGAACGGAGCCAATGGAATGGCATCAAACACCTGGAACCATGTGATTGATGTATTTGATACCATTCCCCCTATTCCGCTCCAGCCATTACCACGAGCCCGTCCTCTCCAATTAAGGTGACGCCAACCTCCTGTGCTCCTTACAATATTATAACATATTGCTTTTACAGCATATTGTATTGGATGATATATTGTAAGTTGTTAAATATATCATCATATTATTATTGTTATAAATAAAAGGCAGTTCATGAAATATCTAATGCCAGAGTACACCCTACTGGACAAAAAAATGAAAGCACCTGGTATTCCCAGGCAGTCTCCTATCCAAGTACTAACAGGCCCAACCCTGTTTAGCTTCCGTGATCGGGCGTATTCAGGCTAGTATGGTTGAAAGGTGAAGGAACATATATAAAGTACACTATATAAAGTGTCTCTCGCTCTATCTTTGTCTCTTTTTTTCATTCTATCTTTCTTTCCTTCCTTCCTTCCTCTCTCTCACTTTCTTTTTCTTTATCTTTCTTTCTTTCCTTCCTTCCTCTCTCTTTCTTTTCATTCTTTCATACCCCTCTCTCTCTCTCACTCTTCTTTTTCTTTCTCAGGCTACCGGGGCACCTCTCTAGCCAGGATGGATGAGTCCAAGCACCGGGGCAAACTCAACTCCCAGATCTGCTCTCTGGAGGAGGTGTTGTCTAAGATCCTCCACCACATTACAGACAGCTTCCACGACACTGTCACCTACAAGGTGAGTCAGGCCAATGGGCCATACATGAGGGGTCTATTCATTAGTGTACAGCGTAGCAAAATGTTTTACAACGGAAAACGAAAACCAGTGTTTCTTATTGGACAAATTGAGCAAGGTCCCGCCTCATTTTTGCTCGTTTGCTTCCGTTGACTTTCTAGTGAATATGACCCACTAGTGTCACTGTGCTCTCTGACATACAGTACATACAGTATGCTATGGGGGATAGAGAGAGAGAGACATGTAGGGGGGTATTCCATAAGCAGAGCTTTTAGGTTGGTGATTTACCCTCATTGAAAGAGCATTGCCGTTCCCTCACGTTCTCTGTTTCTCTCTCCCTCACTTTCTCTGTTTCTCTCTCCCTCAATTCCTCTGTTTCTCTCTCCCTCACTTTCTCTGTTTCTCTCTCCCTCACTTTCTCTATTTCTCTCTCCCTCACGTTCTCTGTTTCTTCCTCAGGCCGTGTCCGAAATCTGTCCAGTTTTGCCTACTACTTACACGTTCTCTGTTTCTTCCTCAGGCCGTGTCCGAAATCTGTCCAGTTTTGCCTACTACTTACACGTTCTCTGTTTCTTCCTCAGGCCGTGTCCAAAATCTGTCCTGTCTTGCCTACTACTTACACGTTCTCTGTTTCTTCCTCAGGCCGTGTCCAAAATCTGTCCTGTCTTGCCTACTACTTACACGTTCTCTGTTTCTTCCTCAGGCCGTGTCCAAAATCTGTCCTGTCTTGCCTACTACTTACTAAAACTGCATAATGTGTACTAGTCGTATATTCTATTTAAAACCTAATGTTTAGTAAAAACGTATGCTGTAAGCAACAAATATCGACATACTAGGCTCATACATACTGAGAAAACGCTATGGTGAGCTCTGCGTCATTTATGTGTTGTTCGTTCATTTTGGTACAACCCGTCCCCCTTATCCCCAATAACCAGAACTTGTCAACTCATCATCAAGTCCTTCATTGATTTAATCAGGTGTATTAGTATTGGGCTAGAACAAAAGCCTGCACCCCAGAACTCTGGTGTAGCCAGACATAACTAAGCAGTTTCCTCACAGCCGTGTTTTCAACTGTCACTCTCTCTCCAGGGGAGGCCATACGGGGAGAAGATGCGCTGGGACCGCATCGAGATGCTCTACTGGCTGCAGCAGGAGCGCAGGGTCCATGCTCTGGAGAGGGTGGTGGAGGGGAGAGGCTCTCTCCCCACCAGACTGCCCCCCCTCAACCCCAACCTTCGGCTGTACCCGGGCACCCACCCCACCCCCCAAGGACACACCCCGACCCTCAGCCAGAGACCCCACCCTCATACACACCCACAGCCGCTCCAACACAACCCAGCCGAGCTCAGTGTATCCAGTATAAGTTTGAACGTTGTAAGCAAATGAATAAAATGCTTGGGAAATTGTTTGTATGCACTGCTTGGAAGGAAATATTATATTTGATCATTATTATGTATTCATATTATGTATAATGTATTATCATTATCACTTGTCAAGTAAATGTATGAACATGATTGGATAATATATATATACAGTATATGCACAACTAGTAGGTTCATATGACATTGGCAACATTTGATATGGTCTATTTTGTCATTAATCATTTATATTATTTTGTTCTGAGTGTGGCAGAAACATGCAACGCTAAGTGCCATGACACAAGGCACGCTGTTTGCTCTATCAGTCTATTTTGGGCCACAGTTAAGTGTCTTATCAGAATTACCAAGTCTAATACTGAAGATACTGCGCTAGTACTGCAGGCGTGTACAATAAACAACAAAGCAGTCACTTATCACTAGGCACCATGCTCCCATCTGCCCAGTTACAATCAAGGGTGCATTATCACACCCTCTCACGTGAGCGCGAGACGCCACCGCATTGGTCATTTCAGACCGGGGAAGTTGTTTCTGTTGTAATTCAGGAAGAACCCAACTCATTTCAAAAATAGGTTGGGATTTATTTGTCAAAGTTACATTATTTTAAAAAGGAAATTATTATAATCCTGAGCACTATCGTGTGTGGATAGCGAGCAAATAGATTCACGTGAGTAGTAGTATTTCCTTTGTTACATTTCCTTACAACTTGGGCAGGTCTTATTAGGAGGGAAGTGTGTGCCACCTTCAGTTTAAAAAGTGTTGTTCCTATCTGTTGTTTTTATAAACAAAATGTTTGTCTGCATGTGAAAATAATAAACTTATAAATAGCGTTTGTAATGCATACTATATAGCCTACTACAGACAGCTGCTGTGTAGTTTTGGGAATGTCGGCTAGTTACAATGTGCTGTGTCCCACAGCTGTCAAATTAGACAGTAACGTTATAGCTAACTACCAAGTGCACAGTTAGCTAGTTATACGCCAGTCAGCTACTGTATTTTATATATATTTAGTAAAAATATATAACTTTCAAATAACTTGTAACCTGACTGACTGACAAAAGCCTACAATCAATGTTCACACTAGAGAGGAAATTTGCTAGGTAACTTCCTGACGTTTAATCATCGCAATATCTGGCAAGTCAGTGCACGCAGACTGAATGGAGGGGATGGATAACGAAAGTAGACTCAATTCTTGTTTTTATGTTACAAATTAGATGGTGAGGTCAGTCAAAGACTCTTATTCCATTCTCAACCACAGTCATGGAGAAAAAAGTCACCTGTCCCACTTACGAAAAAAGATTGCAGTCAGAGTGCAGTATAACTGCAGTATGCTGCAAATACTGCCTCCAAAATATCACAGTCGACCGCAGTTACTGCACTTTTACTGCAGTTTCAAAACTGCAAGCTTTTTCAAAGTATTTCATGGTACTGTATTATGACAAGGAACGTCTTTATACTGTATATCCACCTTATCAGTTTCCAGTCAGGAGTCACACTAAGGCAGCTGTGCTAGTAGTAATACTGTCCTTGCTCTGGTCCACGGTGTTATGTGCAGCTTGAGCCTTCCTTCAACAGATTATTGTTCAATAAAGCTCAAGCCACAGGTAGCACCCTGGATCAGAGCTAGTACTGCCCATACTACATCCATCCATGCAACTTCCTTTCCCAGCAGTTCCCATCACCTGCCAATCAATCACCATTCCTGCCCAGCCGTCCCAACCTGTGTGGGAGAGGCTGTATGTGTGGTTGGACCTGTTCCGGCCCGTTGGCATGGCGATGATGGAGGAAGGGGCGCGGAGCTGCCTGCTTCAATCACGCTCCAACCTGGAGCAGGACATCAGGGCCTCCTACCTGATGGATCACATGATCAGCGATGGCGTGCTGACTGGGGACGAGGAGGAGAGGATCAGGAGCAAGGTGGGGTGAGGAGGTGGGGGAGTACAGTAGCACCCTTTTCATACACTTTCCTATGTCCATAGTGGTGATTAAGTGTATAAAGGTGTTTGTTTGGAATCGGGTCCACAACCAACTTTCACATTACCAAGCTGAGCCAAACCGACAGCACTGTGCTGGCTCAGATAGTTTCTGTTCACATTGACCTTTCCAGCAACTATTGGGCTCCCGAGTGGCGCAGTGGTCTAAGGCACTGCATCGCAGTGCTTGAGGCGTCACTACAGACCCCCTGGTTCGATTCCAGGCTGTATCACAACCGGCCGTGATTGGGAGTCCCATAGGGCGGCGCACAATTGGCCCAGCGTCGTCCGGGTTTGGCCAGTGTAAAATATGGTGGATGCGTAACCAGGCCAGCTCAGTACAGCTTGGCTCGGCTCTGTAGTGGGAAAACCTATAAGTGGCTGGGTGCCTGATTCCAAACAAACACCCTCATAAGAGAGAGAGGGAGAGGGAAAGAGAGAAAGCGAAAGAGACAGAGAGGAGAGAGGTAAAGTCAGAGAGATTGCAGGGCTTTTTAAACACTTACCACTACGGACATCTGAAAGGACTGCATCGGTGTAAGAAAAGCAATAAAATAGTTTCAAAATTCACGTTGTCTCTCTCCATCGTCCAGCCCACCAGGAGAGAGCAGGCTGCGGCCCTGCTGGAGCTGCTCCTGAGGAAGGATAACCAGGCCTACATCTCCTTCTACAACGCCCTGGTCCGCGAGAGCTACGGAGACCTGGCCAGCCTGCTCCACAACAGCCTGCCCCTGGTCTCCCCAGAGGCCGAGAAGAGCTTCTCAGACGCGGGCACCCACTATGGTGAGCTGCCCCCCAGGGTGGAGGATGGAGAATACCAGGAGACTAGGACAGTCTAAGATGTGCCCTCCTTTTCTGATACAGGGAAAGAATATGCAGGGGAGTTCTGTGTGTGTGTGTGTGTCTGTGTGGGTATCTATGTGTATGTGAGCACACCTCTCTGTCTGCTGTGTTTGACACCTCTGTTTATTCCATTGGCAACATACTGCATATATATAATGACGTCTTTGCTGTATTCCCCTGTTCCAGTCCAGACGGTGCTGAGTGAGGGCGGTGTGCCCCAGAGACCCGTTGTGTTTGTGAGCCGGCCAGCCCTGGTGAACCGGGTCAGGGAGAAGCTCTACCGATTGCAGAAGGAGCCCGGCTGGGTCACTGTGTTCGGCATGGCCGGCTCTGGCAAGTCTGTCTTGGCTGCGGAGGCAGTCCGAGACCACGCACTCATCACAGGTAGGAGGCTCCGGGGTGAAGTTTCCCCTAGTTACAGACCTAGGATCAGTTTTCCCTCCCCCATTCCTAACCAAACCCATTAATGGGGAAAATGTAAAACTGACCCAAGATACATTTCAGGAGGGGGGTTAATACATGTGGAGGAGGCTCTTTTTCTCTCTGTCTGCATTCACTTTCTCTCTGTTTTTCTCTGTTCGTTATCGCATTGGTCTCTTGACTGTACTCTCTCTCCGTCTGTCTCTCTCTCTCACACACTCACTCACACACACACACACACACACACACACACACACACACACACACACACACACACACACTGGTCCTTCTGACACCCTCCCCCCAGAGTGTTTTCCAGGAGGAGTCCACTGGCTGTCCATAGGCCAGCTGGACCGGGCTGACCTGCTGGTGAGGATCCAGTCGCTGTGTTTCCGCCTGGAGCAGCAGTGCCAGGAGCAAGACCCCTCGTCCTCCCTCCACCGGCCTCCTGGCTCTCTAGAGGAGGCCAAGGAGCGCCTACGCTTCCTCATGCTCCGTCGTTACCCCAGGTCAGTCCCCCAGGGTTGAAGTGTATTATTGTGTTGCACGGTTGCATTACGCCATTCTTATGAACGTTCTCTTGTGGACTGGTGGCCAACTTTTTAAGTGGACCTTCTACACGGAGGCTGTTAATGATGAGTAGAACGTTCAGTTGGACCTCATAGAAGTTTCAGCTCTGGAGTGACTAGCATGGAAGCCATGATCAGAGGGGTATATTGTGTTTATTGTATGCCATTAATTCAACTCCAATTCATGTCATATGATTTAGATGTGTTTGTGTGTCCAGGTCGTTGCTGATACTGGATGACATCTGGGACAGCTCGGTGCTCAAGGCCTTTGACATCCAGTGTCGAGTACTGCTCACCACCCGAGACAGAAGCCTAGCCGACTGTGTCAGTGGTGTGTATGAATAATAACACTGATATTAATACTAATATTACTACAGTACTACTGATAATGATGACTTCATTTATAGAACAAACATTACGCTCAATGCACCTGCTCAAACTGTGCATATGTGTTTGTGCACTCATGCGTTTGTGTGTGTGTGTGTGTGTGTCCAGGTTCTAAGTCTGAGGTGGCAGTGGAGAGTGGTCTGGAGGAGGATCAGGCCTTGGAGATCCTCGCCCTGTATGTCAACGGGAAACCCCAGAGACTCCCAGAACAGGCCCGCAGCATTGTCAGAGAGTGCAAAGGTACATGCACGCACACACACACACACACACATATGGAGCGATAGTGTCAACAGAAATTGTATTGATTTAAATGAAAGGTTGAATAAATGAAAGGTTTACAATAAAATGTCAATTTATTTCACATATTCAAGGGAAATATAGTATTACATTTTCTTATGAATGATTTGGGAAGTATTATGTAGTGTGACCAAAAACATTGATAGAAATAATGAACAGATCATAAATAGAGAACAAGATAACTAGCTAATTAAACATCAAATAAAACAGCAACATGGCGTACTGTAATAGTATGGATAGAATATACTACATTATACAACGGGTGGGTCTAATCCTGCTGATTGGTTAAAACCGCATTCCAGCCGGTGTCTATTCCACAAGTTACCACCCGCTAAATCTATGACGTTAAAATGCTTATTTTACACTGCTCCATCTGACTGCGACTCCACTGTCTCATCAGCCCAGCCAGGCAATTTATAAACTTGATCTCGACTATAAAAAAGCATCTAGACATTATCTCACATTTCTTTTAGACTAACATTTAGTTTTCAACAGCGGATATTTGTATAAACCTTGCTGTCTGTCTCTCCGACATTTGCAACATTGTTTCCATATTCAAATTCGATCTCCAGCTGTCCCATACATAGTAATGAACGTGTTGGGAGTTGGGACGAGACAGGCAGGCAGCGTTTCTCAGGCAGTCGAAATCATGAATCAGCTGGCATAATTTTTATGGATATGTACAAAGAAATGTACATTGAAAAAAGGTAAACCTCCCGAGTGGCGCAGTGGTCTAAGGCTGTGCCACTAGAGATCCTGGTTCGAATCCAGGCTCTGTCGTAGCCGGCCGTGACCGGGAGACCCATGGGCGGCGCACAATTGGCCCAGCGTCGTCCAGGGTAGGGGAGGGAATGGCCGGCAGGGATGTAGCTCAGTTGGTAGAGCATGGCGTTTGCAACGCCAGGGTTGTGGGTTCGATTCCCACGGGGGGACAGTATAAAACATTTAAATAATGTATGCACTCACTAACTGTAAGTCGCTCTGGATAAGAGCGTCTGCTAAATGACTAAAATGTAAAAAATGTAAATGTTAATGTAAAATGAAACAAAGTGCAGCTAGTTTGCAGTCTTTCCAGCTTCAGTTTTTAGTGATTGTGTTAGTTGTGTTGTTGGCTCCTCTGAACAACAATGTCCTGACAAGAGAGCGCATTTTCTATGCCAGGCGAAATCGCGCCTCATTAGCTCATTATTATGGATGTATCCAAGTAAATATCACTAGAAAACAGCTTAAACAAATGCAAATGCAGCTACTGTTGTTATTCTGGCTGCACTGTTTGAAGTAACTGTAAATTAGCCGTAGTTGGCTAGCTAGCAAGCAAGGGATAAGAACGTTGCTAGCCAGTATGGCTATGGAACATTTAGAACGAACGACTGGGTCGTGTCCATAGATACAGAACAAAAAGACTGAACGACTGGGTCGCGTCTCTGGCAACCGAACCGATAGAACGAACGACCAGCCGGCTTGGGTAGCAACCCTAGATTTGTGTCGGGACTATATCTTGTGGAAGGATGAAATAGTATGAATAAATGAATCAAAATAATGTTTTTAATGAAGATATGTAAATCATTATTTTAATATGTTGGTAACCCGTTGTATAAAAGTCATAATGCCCTCGAAGCCGGTGTTTGGAGGATATATTGGCACGGTTTGCCGGCCCTCGACTTCGTTTCGGGCCTACCAACACCCATGCCAATATATCCTCCAAACACCGGCTTTGAGGGCATTATTACTTAATTATGATATTTAGTAATGGTTAATGATAAATGAATGCAATGTGAGATGAGTAGGGAATAATTCATTATAGCTGGCACGTGGCAACTTCTATTCAAAGCTCTTCCTTATTTTTCGGGCCCCTTTTTTCTCTCTTTCTGTCATTCTTTTTATTCTGTAGTTTGTGGAAGACCTTTCCATCTGGCTGCTCTTTCCATCTCAGTTTGAAGTTCCCAGTCATCCCATTGGCCTTCATTTTCTCCTTTATCTGAGGAACAGAACCAGCCTTTATGCCCTGAACACCTAATTTTACTGAAGGTTTATTTATTAATACATCGTAGGATTAACCAATTTGCATTACACATTTAATTATGGCAGCTATATGTTTTCATATGTAGGTACCTGCACTCTTACGGTTTGAAAGGTTTATCATTACTTGGAGATTTCTCTTAACGTAAGGAGCAGTGGACTGTACTTGTTCATTGTAAATAAGAATTTATTCTTAACCCTTTACACTCGTGGGAAATGGGGCTTTATGGATAGGGCTAAATTGAAATGTTTCTAACAGAATAAATATGAATAGCATGGTAGAAATTGAAAGGGAACAATTTTGAGATTATGGGAAAATGATTTGACCAAAGTTGAGGACACAACAGTTCACCTGATACAAGACTGAATCCAAACATTACACTGTTGATTTTATGTGCATTTTACATTTACTGTACTTTTCACCGCATTTGTTATTAGCAAAATCTGAAAATACTCTGGATGCATCCAGTAGCATGATTACAATATTCCTGGAAAATGTGGGGTAGGTGCAACATAAAACAAAAAAACGACAAGGGTTTGAGTGAGAGGACTAACTGGTGTCTCCAAGTGGCCACACTCCTTTCCAAAGTGTGCACAGTTCCTAAGTCATTCAATGCACTTTTATGACTCAAAGAAGTCTTCAAATATAAGGTGCTTTTTTTTTAGCTCTCCTAGTGGTGCCGTTGCGCAACTAGAGCAAGCAAACTTGTAGTTGTTTTGTTTGGAACGCAACCCTGCATCCCACCATCACACAATTACTGTTGTTTACGCAATCCAAAAACGGCCCGTTTTATATGTCGCAATCTGGGTCAGGTGGGCATCAAATCTGCCACTTTCAACCCGCAAACGGGTACGAGTGTAAAGGGTTAACTGACATACATTGTTAAATGAAGGTAAACATCTATAAATTAAGAGGGTGAGACTCACCTGCTGTAAAATGGCCTCCCTCACCTCAGCATCATTCAGGTCCATGTTTGGGTCTGGGGTCATCCTCACTCTCACTACCTGTATCTTCTTGACTGTTGGGGGTCTTGGTTCTAACACATACACAGATATAACCCTTCTCAGCAGGGAATGAATTGGAAATTCAAACCACCAATTGAAATAATTCATAATTGTATAATAGCTGGCAATTCTATAATGTTGCCTAATCATGGTAATTTAGCTTTGGGGACCTCAATGTCGAAAGACATGGTCAAGGTAGTCAAATTAAACTCCACAAAATGCAAACCCATGACGCAGGGGAGTTGGTTATGTACACAGTTAAGATGAACAGTCACCATTACATACAAGAAGATAATGTCACATATTTAAATCTGTGTGGACAGTTATTCCAAAGCAACCGCCCATTTAACGAGATGAGTTTGGTGGCACAATAAGGGATCTTAACTTACCACCGTAGCAAACGAAGGGACATTTCATCAGACATTCCCTGTCTATCCATCGGCCTGAGGGACTACGATTCCATGCAGCGCAGCGCTTGTCAGTATTATTTGCTTCTCCATCGCCCCAGTATCGGAACGAGGAGTTACTCTGGTCCGACCACTCCCAGGTGTCTTTGAACAGGCCGATCCACACGTTGCTACCGTTGGCCACGTTACAGATCTCTTGGTTCTCATTCTGGTTCCTCACACTGGCCAGGTCTGTGTGGTTCTCTCTGCAGTAGCGCTGAGCCTCCCTCCAGGTCATTGGCTCTTTGACTATTACGAAACTACCAGCTGGAGACTTAGTCCCTATGGGGACAAATGCAACCAGCAGAGTTTGGATCAGCTCTTGTGAATTCATAAACCTTTGGAAATCATAAGCTTGGAATTGACAATCAATTTCAAAGACAAACTTTGAAACCTTTGATAACCACACAGTAATCTGTTACTTGGCCAACTTGTGTGTATGTGCTGCTGGTGGCCTCGATGGTGTTACCAGGTTAGTGTGTTTTAACTAGAATACATGTAGTATGTAACTCACTGTCGTAGCACACTAGCTGTTTTCGATCAGTGCAGAGATAGTCGTGCCATTTTTTTCCAGAACTGTACACGACACCACAATCTTCATTCAAATTTACCTGGCTGGCCTTCTTCCCAAAACTCCTTAAACTCAGTCTGTCTCTCACTATAGTAGTCTATGTCTGCCAGAGACCATTGCCACCTAAAAGACAGTCCCTTCTTCAGTCCTATCCACACTGCTCCATCATAACCGCTGTCTATAGTCGAGTGGTTCAGTCTGTTCATATCCTCCATGTTGTCTACGGTGGCCAGGTCTGTGTACTTCTTTCTGCAGTACCTCTGCGCTTCAGTCCAGTTTTTAGGGTCCCTTTCATAGTGATACGGACAGGAGGAGAGTGTGAAGAGCCCTGTGAAAAAGTGCATTGTCATCTCAAGTAACTGCCTCAAGGGCAGCAACATCAATAATATTTACCCTTCTACCCAGAGGCCGCAATATCAATAGTCAAGTTGATCATCTAAAAGTTAATAGCAGAACAAATCATGGTATTACTATTTCTTAAACTACTACTGTTCACATTTTAACTCAATATCTAAAAGTATTGCACTTTGGCACTTTTTTGTTACAGCCCAAAACTATCACACCAGATTCAACTTCTCAAGGGCTTGGTGGTTAATTGATTATTTGTGATAGTGTTGGGTTGGAACACAAATGTGCTGGCTGCAGTTATGTAATCGTAAATACATTGTAATAAAATATATATATATATATTAAATATCATAATAAAGACACTGACCTGAGAAAAACACAATCAGCACTTTCTTCTCCATGACAAAAGATTCATAAAAAATATACCAATATTTTCAACTAGCTGTCTTCATCAGGTCTTGACCTGGTGTACTGTCGATCCTCTGTATTCAGCTGCACCTTTCTCTGTAGGGCTGGGTCTCACAATACACAGTGCACCTATTCATCTGTCTTTATATAGCTTGCTTTGTTTGGTGGTTATGTTCAGTTCTCTTTTACCAGCAGGGCATCAGTCAAATGAGTATGAGCCTGTTAGTCAAATTAGTCTGAGCATAGACTTCAGAGAAAAGGAACCCTTATTGCCTAATGATGACCCACTGAAAATTCTGTTAACCTTCAACAACTTGCATAATTCCATTCTAAATCATGAAATTCAATTTCAAATATTGAAATTATTATTAAATAATTAAATGTATCAAAACGATTAAATACAAATTCCATTTCTGTTACATCTAAAAAAAAACACGATAAAACTCTTGGCACAATCAACCAGCCTGCCTAAACCCCTCCTCTACCGTCCTCTCTTCCCAAGGCTCCCCCTTGGTGGTGTCCCTAATCGGGGCCCTGCTGCGGGAGTTCCCGGACCGCTGGGCCTACTACCTGCGCATGCTCCAGCAGAAGAAGTTCAAGCGTATCCGTAAGTCGTCTTCGTATGACTACGATGCCCTTGACCAGGCCATGGCTGCCAGCATCCAGGTCCTGTCTGAGGAACACAGGGAGCTGTACATTGACCTCACCGTGCTGGAGAAGGACGTCAAAGTACCTGCCAAGGTCAGACTGGCCGGGGGGATTATGCTTAGGTTGGATTCGGCTAGGCTTGATTAGGTCAGGTTAGGCTAAACTAAGCTAGGCTAAGCTAGGCTAGGTAGGGTTGGATTCGTCTAGGCTTGGTCAGGTGAGGCTCAACTAAGCTAGGCTAAGCTAGGCTACAGTAGGTTAGGGCAAGGCTATCCCACACCTTCAGTCTTCAATGGAACGGCCAAAAAGTATTCATAACCCATCGAGACATTGTGAGCTGTCCTTGTGGAAAGAAGGAGGGAATAAGGTGATAAGATATCAGAAAAGACGATGAAACAGGTCATTGTTTGTTTCTGTCTCTAAATCTAAGCCTGTTCTTCCATCAAAGGAGGCTGCTGAGGGGAGCACAGCTCATAATAATGTCTGGAATGGTATCAAACACATGGAAACCATGTGTTTGATGAGTTCGATACCATTCAATTTATAGCGTTCCAGACATTAATATGAGCCAGTCCTCCCCAATTAAGATGCCACCAACCTCCTGTGTCCTCCATGTTCCTCTGCCTGCAGGTTCTGTCGGTTCTGTGGGATCTAGAACCGGAGGAGGTGGAGGACGTTCTCCAGGACTTTGTGAACAAGTCCCTACTGTTCCGTGACTGTCACCACCGGCCCTACCTCTACTACCTCCACGACCTCCAGCTGGACTTCCTGGCTGAGATGAACCGCTCTGGTCTAGAGGTGGGTCTCATACACTCCAACCAGTGGAGGCTGCTGAGGGGAGGACGACTCATAATAATGTCCGGAATGGAGTCAATGGAATGGTATCAAACACATTGTTTGATACCGTTCCATTCACTCCATTCCAGCCATTATTATGAGCCGTCCTCCCCTCAGCAGCCTCCAATGACTCCAACATACACATGATCTCTATCTTCATTTTACATTTACATTTTAGTCATTTAGCAGACGCTCTTATCCAGAGCGACTTACAGGAGCAATTAGGGTTAAGTGCCTTGCTCAAGGGCACATCGACAGATTTTTCACCTAGTCGGCTCGGGGATTAGAACCAGTGACCTTTCGGTTACTGGCACAACGCTCTTAACCACTAAGCTACCTGCCGCCACTCATAGGGTTGATATGTATGCTGGTGGCCATTTTGAAATGTATCTAAAGTTTGATGTTTGCCAACTTTTGTCTGTAAGTATTCTGTTAATTGTGTTGCTCAAATGTGTTGGAATGACTGAATATTTTCTGAAATCAAATATAACGAAATTGATTCTTCTAGAGAATCAATGTACATGGACCTTGGAAAAACAAGACAGTCGCTTAAAAAATGAATCAGTTTGACTCATGTCTTCTATGCCCTGAATTATTGGGGCATCGATCTACTGTAATATGGTATGTTTTTTAACAAGCGTGTGTGTTCCAGAGCCTCCACTCTAAGGTTGTGCGTCAGTACCAGCAGTGCTACAGCCAGGGTCCCCCCACCTCAGGAGATGAAGAGTGCCTCTACTGGTTCAGATTCCTCACCTACCACATGGCCAAGGCCAACCTCACACAGGTACGCACGCGCGCACACACAAACACACAAATCTAAATCAAATCAACGTTTTTTTGGTCGCGTACACAGTTTAGTAGATGTTATAGTGGGTGCAGGGAAATGCTGATGTTACTAGCTCCTAACACTGCAGTAAAATGTCAAACAAGTAGACAAATAATCAAAAACACAATCCAATTAACAACCCAAATAACACTGTATCAGAGCTGTTGTGTGTGAGTGAGTCTATCTTGGCCTCTTACTACAGGAGATGGTGTGATGGCTGTTCAACAGTCTGATGGCCTGGAGATCAAGGCACGACTCAGTATGATGGAGGCCTTCGCCAGACAAGCACAAGTTGCTAATGTATTTTTTCTCTCTCTCTACCGCTTTCTCTCTCCCTCTATATTTCCCTCTCTCATTCTCACTTTTTCTTTTTCTGTTACCCTTACACCCCTCCTTTCCTTCTCTCCCCTCCTCCCCCCTCTCTCCCTGTAGGAGTTGTACTCTCTGATGTTCTCTCTGGACTGGGTCAGAACTAAAGCTCAGATTATGGGACCTGCTCATCTCATCAATGACTATGTGGAGTATGGCGCCATACTGGACAAAGAGGTCAGGATTTGATCAACACCAAGTTCACTGAGGAAGCTAATGTGTACCCTGTTTTATTGTCATTTGATATGGTTTTCAAATCTTGTGGTTGGTATCAATTCCTCGTAAGTCAATGGCGGCAGGTAGCCTAGTGGTTAAGAGCATTGGGCCAGTAACCAAAGCATCGCTGGTTTGAATCCCTGAGGCGACTAGGTGAAACATCTGTCCATGTGCCCTTGAGCAAGGTACTTAACCCTAATTGCTCCTGTAAGTCGCTCTGGATAAGAGCGTCTGCTAAATGACTAAAATGTAAAAATGTAAATGCAATAAACAGTTACTCGTTTCATGCTTGTGAATACAATTATTGTGTCCCAATAATCTCTCCTTTCTCCCGAAGTGTTCACTTGTTCAATTCCCCTCATGGTTTTGAAAGGAAATGACTGTTGAATGTAAACTCCCCCTAGCCTATGCCTACACCAATCCAATGCTTTTATATTTGTGTAGTGAACGAGTGCACACTTCAGGAGATGGACATATTATTGGGACGCACGCTGATTGTCACATCCTCACTGTGAGTCTCTCTTTATGGTCCCCCCAGAACAGCGAGGTGCGGGGCCACTTCCAGGAGTTCCTGTCTCTGAACGGCCACCAGTTGGAGCAGCGTCCGTTCCCTGACGTAGTGCAGCTGGCCCTGTCCCAGCCAGACTCCTCCGAGGTGTACCGCCAGGCCCTGCTGCAGGCGCAGGAGAGGGCCAGCAGAGGGGGACTCTACCTTGACTGGGTGTAAGTAGTATCAATCAATCAATCAATCAAATGTTATTTATAAAGCCCTTTTTACATCAGCAGATGTCACAAAGTGCTATACAGAAATACAGCCTAAAACCCCAAACAACAAGCAGTGCAGATGTAGAAGTAGCTTACTAGAGAACCAGAACTCACCTACCTCCTGTTCAGCACACGTAGCACGCTTCCTCGGCTGTGCCGAGACAGTGGACCTTTCCGGAGTGGCAGTGAACCCGGTTCCTCATCCCTGTTAGGACCCAGCAGTGACCATAATCCATCCCTCTCAGAGAAGATATCTCCTTCCTGCAATACTGACGCCGGACTGCTCTATCAATCATGGATAAATCAATGCCCATGGCATTTTGATAACATCCTGTACATGGATAAAGTGGACTCTTGTCCATGGCTACTTTAGGATTTGTCAAGAGAACTCGGAATACTAGACATTAACAAGTTACTGGGACTGATTTCTGACTGAGACTGTCAAGAATCAAGATGGGTTCTAAAAATTAAAAATTACTTTATTTATTTTTTACAAAAAAAATTATATAAAATACATGTATGCACTCACTAACTGTAAGTCGCTCTGGATAAGAGCGTCTGCTAAATGACTAAAATGTAAATGTAAATGTAAGTATAGTAGGCCTATACACACTGCTCATGTGCTTATAAATGTACTCACTATTTCATCTGGGTGTACAGTATTAACCCCTAGCCCCTACCTCTTACTCCCTAGCCTTTATGCATTACATTTGCCAGTCAACCATACCCTAACCATAGAGTTGACTTTGTGTCGCACTTACCACAAAGCCTGTTTTAGCGTAGTGTCAGTGCCACTGCCCCTGCTAAAACAGAAGCAATTGTAAATGCAAAGACGTGCCCTCTATCCAACTCTATGACCCTAACTCTATTGTTTTGGTCTCATCCCCTCATGATCACATTCTCTAAGTCATCTATGGTTGTGGTTTGTTCCAGGAACAAGAGTAGTCTTAAGAGTCTGTCTCGTCTGGTGGTCCAGCCCCACCAGGGATCCATCTACTCTGCCTGCTTCTCCCACGACGGCACTAAGATCGCCTCCTGTGGCTCCAGCAAGACACTGCGAGTAAGACACACACATTCTTTTTAAATCAATCTTCACCCACTGTATCTCCCACACATCCCAGTGTGTGTGTGTGTGAATGTGTGTGTGTGTGTGTGTGTCAGTGTGTGTCCTCTATAAACTCTGCCCTGTGTGTGTCTTCAGGTGTTTAAGAGCACCTCTGGGGAGAAGCTGCTGGAGATCCAGGCCCACGACGATGAGGTGCTCTGCTGCGCCTTCTCCTCCGATGACCATCTCCTAGCAACCTGCTCCAGCGATAGGAAGGTCAAGGTATGGTGTGGAACCCTCCCCTCTGACAGACAGATGGACATTCAAACTTTGAACAGACTTCAGACAGACTTGACTGACAACCCGACTTCAACAGACGGAAGTCGTTAGTCTGACTCTAATCTGTGTTGTGTGCAAGGTTTGGAAAGCAAAGAAAAGGGAGAGTTGTATATCTGTGTAACTACAGTATCTGTGTTGTGTGCCAGGTGTGGAAAGAAAAGAAAAGAGACAGTTGTATATCTGTGTAACTATACTATCTGTGTTGTGTGCCAGGTAAAAAAAGAAAAAAAAAAGAGAGAGAGTTGTATATCTGTGTAACTACAGTATCTGTGTGGTGTGCCAGGTGTGGAACGTGGAGCGTGGGACTCTGATGAGGGTGTTTGAGGACGAACACGAGGAGCAGGTCAACCACTGTCAGTTCACCAACACACGCCGACGCCTCCTACTGGCCACCTGCTCCAACGACAAGTTCATTAACACCAAGGTGAGCCTGTGTGTATGCTCATGCTTGTGCCTGTGGTGTGCCTGTGGTGTGTGTGCCTGTCCCTGGGTGTGTTGTGTGTGTGTGTGTGTGTGTGTGTGTGTGTTTGTGTGTGCCTGTCCCTGTTGTGTGTGTGATTTAAAAACCATGAAGTAGGCTCTCTCTCGCACATTATTTTGCACTCTGGTTATAAGATCTATCATGCTCTCGCTCTCTCTCAATGCATCCCCCCCTCTCTCTCTCGCTCTCTCTCTCTTTCTCTCTCTCTCTCTCTCTCTCTCTCTATCTCTCTATCTCTCTCCCTATCTCTCTATCTCTCTCTCTATGCATCTCCCACCCTCTCTCTCTCTAGCTGTGGAACCTCAATAAACCCTCCTCCCAGAACACCATGTTTGGTCATTCGGAGCCTGTCAATCACTGCTGTTTCTCCCCTGATGATGCCCACCTCTCCACCTCTTCCAGTGACGGAACCCTGAAGGTGGGAGGGGCATAGTCACCACCTATGGCTTTGTGTGTTTGTATTAGCAAATGTAGATAAAGGCTTTTCATTTAGGTGTAGACTACTAGAATGTATTGAACCACATTAATTGTACGTACCTGTGCATGAGGGTGTGTGTTTCTGTGCATGTATGTGTACATGCATGTCTGCGTGCCTACCTGTGTGTATGTATGTGTGTGTGTGTACATGCGTGTGTTCATGTGTGTGTGCTTGCGTGTGTGTTTCAGCTGTGGGAGGTGTCCTCGGCCAATGAGTGGAAGTCCATAGATGTGGCGGACATGTTCCCGGAGCAGAGTGAGCAGACGGAGGTCATAGTGAAGTGCAGCACCTGGTCAGCAGACGGCAGGAGCATCATCTGTGCTGCCAGGAACGCAGTCTTTGTGAGTGGGACGTGTTTGTGTGTCTGTGTGTGTTGAGTAAGCCTCTGCTCTGCTCCATGGGGCCGTGGCGTGGGCACAATGACTGAGGGGTGGTCCCCTGGCGGAGCTCCATGACTCGGACCAGATTTGTTTAGCATGTTGCGATTCATCAGAGTAGGAGCTGGCAGAAAGTTGAATGGACTTTGGTAACTGGGATACATGAGCTAATGCTCATTCTATGGCTAATACTACACTGAACAAAAATATTAACGCAACATGCAACAGTTACAGTTCATAGAAGGAAATCAGACAATTGAAATAAATTAATTAGGCCCTAATCTATGGATTTCATATGACTGGGAATACAGATATGGGAATACAGATACCTTTAAAAAAAGAAAAAGTAGGGGCGTGGATCAGAAAACCAGTCAGTATCTAGTGTGTCCACCATTTGCCTCATGCAGCATGACACATCTCCTTTGCATAGAATTGATCAGGCTGTTGATTGTGGCATGTGGAATGTTGTTACTGTAGACGACGAGCATGCAGATGAGCTTCCCTGAGACGGTTTCTGACAGTTTGTGCAGAAAGTTTTCGGTTGTGCAAACCCACAGTTTCATCAGCTGTCCGGGTGGCTGGTCTCAGACAATCCCGCAGGTGAAGAAGCCGGATGTGAAGGTCCTGGGCTGGCGTGGTTATTACACGTGGTCTGCGGTTGTGAGGCCGGTTGGACATGCTGCCAACTTCTCTTGGAGGCAGCTTATGGTAGAGAAATGAACATTCAATTCTCTGGCAACAGCTCTGGTGGACATTCCTGCAGTCAGCATGCCAATTGCACTCTTTTTTTTGTAGGGGGTAAATCGGCTTTAATATTGCAGATAGATTGTAACTTCCATCAATGTAATTGTCTGCCAATTGCACTCTTCCTCTACTTGAGACATCTGTGGCATTGTGTTGTGTGACAAAACTGTACATTTTAGAGTGGCCTTTTATTGTCCCCAGCACAAGGTGTACCTGTGTAATGATCATGCGGTTTAATCAGCTTATTGATATGCCACACCTGTCAGGTGGCTGGATTATCTTGACAAAGGAGAAATGCTCACTAACAGGGATATAAACACATTTGTGCATAACATTTTAGAGAAATAAGCTTTTTGTGCATATGGAACATTTCTGGGATCTTTTATTTCAGCTCATGAAACATGGGACCAAAACTTTACATGTTGCGTTTATTTTTGTTCAGTGTATTTTAGCTGGTGCTGCTAGCTGACACTGCTAACCAATACAGATGGCGCTTCTTTTTGTAGCTGTGCGCTACTTTTAGCTTAGAGGTTAGTGCTGCTGTTGCTAATGCTAGTTACTCCTCTACTGTGTTTGTGTGTGTAGCTGATATCAGTGCCACATATAGGCCTACATTTTACTCAACAACATTGGGCCTTGTCTGACCGACAAAACAACATTCACACACACAAAACTTTTAATGCTAAGAAATGATTTTTTTTATTGATAAAATGTCCAAAGAAATCAAGAACTAAGTGTAGAAAATAGTGAGAAAATAATGAGGAGTGGAAATAAGAACCCACAAGGGGTTTCAACAAGCTAGCTGCCATCCGCTACACCAACACTGGTTCTTCTTTTTTTATTCCCCCCCATCGGAACTTTCTTTTCAGTACTCTGGTTCTTATCACCAGAGGCAATAATGGACATACCTGAAAGGAGGCGAGAGAGGTCAACTTAATAGGTACCTTTCAAAAGGCAGTGATGACCCAAGATTCTATGGTGATGATAGTGTATGTGGTTAGCTCTAATTCCTGGCCATCCAGTCTTCAGTCAGCTATTTGTTCCACACAAACAAATAAAACATAGTTATGACGGTTATTTTTATTTTCATGACGGTCTTCATCCATAATCGTCGGTTACACGATTATACGTTAATTGTGCCAGCCCTAATCAATTATAGCAGAAACAAATATACAAACAAATAAAAATACAAACAAATTAGATTCAAACAAGTAATAAACCGCTTATGCTACCCATCATTCTCTTTATCTTACCTGTAATATTTAATCAAAAGTTAATCATGACTTAATTTACACATAACATAACCCTTCAAAATAAATGATTTAAATCAGCAAATGGATTTCACAAAAACATTTGACTACATAACATCAATTGACAGAAATGAATTTATATCCACCACCTTATTGGTCCTGGAAATATTAATTTGAGAAAGAGTAGGCTGCTGTCCTATGGACTGTCTTTCTCCAGATTGACTGTGTCCCGGAATGTTCACTCAGCCAAGATTCTAACCATTATGACATAATCAGTGCCATCCATTATGACATCACCCCAAGCTTGCATACATACCTAAGTGGCCTACAACTTGTAAATGTGTCTTTTCTAGTTGTTTATCAATAAAAACAGTTATAAGATACAGTAAACAACATACTGTCAGTTCATTGTAAAGTCTAGACCTTCCTGTAACATAACTGTGTAGCTTAACAGGCCCATGGTGTCTGCTCTTCAGTATAGTAGCACACACACGTCATTCTTTAAAATACCCTGATATACGGTATTGTGTTTGTGTGTGTGGACCGTGTGTGGTTTGTGTTTCTTCACTTGTATGTATTTAGAGTATCTGACCTGTTGAATATTTACATGCATCAGTATGCATATTAACCACATAATTACTAGTATCTCAACTGAGTGTACAAAACATTAAGAAATCCTTGATAATATTGCACCCCTCGCCCCCAGAAAAGCCTAATTTCGTCAGCGCATGAACTCTACAGGGTGTCGAAAGCATTCTACAGGGATGTTTGGCCCATATTGACTCCAATGCTTCCCACAGTTGTGTCAAGTTGGCTGGATGTCCTTTGGGTGGAGGACCATTCTTGCTAAAACTGTTGAGCATGATAAACCCAGCAGCGTTGCAGTTCTTGACACAAACCTGTGCGCCTGGCACCTACTACCATACCCCGTTTAAAGGCACTTCAATCTTTTGTCTTGCCCATTCACCTTCTGAATGGCACACATACACAATCCATTTCTCAATTGTCTCAAGGCTTTAAAATCCTTCTTTAACATGTCTCCTCCCCTTCATCTTCACTGATTGAAGTGGATTTAACAAGTGACATCAATAGGGGATCATAGCTTTCACTTGGATCCACCTGGTCAGTCTATGTCATGGAAAGAGCATAGCCTAGCTGTCAATATATTTGTGTTTAGCAGTATGTTCTTGTCTAGCAACTTGTCCTAGAGCAATCTGTCTGTGAAGCAATGAAAATGCCCTGGACAACTTGTCTTTCATGTTTGGTATTTGGGCCTGTCTGTCCATCAGAGGGTAGAAGTGTGTGTTCTGACTGAGAATGAAGCCGTCCCACTCCTGGGAAATGTAAAGGTCTCTGTGTGTCCGTGTCTGTTCTCTCCACTCCAGGAATCAGCATGGCGTTGAATGTCAGAGTTGTGTCAGTTTGTTGGCTAGTATTGAGAGAAGAATAGACAGCTTGATGGACTTTGATTTTTTTGGCACGTAGAAACATTTACAACTCTTTGTTTTCCACCTCAATCTCTTTCTCTTTCTCTCTCTTTCTCTCTCTTTCCCTCTCTTTCTCTCTCTTTCCCTCTCTTTCTCTCTCTTTCCCTCTCTTTTCTTCAGTCTGCTTTTCCCCTCACAATCCCACACTTTGCCCAGTTGGAAGATATGGAAATCAATCGATGGTTGAGACTCAGGTTGACATTTTATTGTCATGAGTCTTGCCCTGGAGGCAGGACTGAGCGGTTTCCGCTAGATGGCCAGCTGCAAAGTCAGAATTTTCTATATTGTAAAAATGAATGAAAACAAAACAGATGCCTCCAGGGCAAGACTCATTACAATAAATGCCAACCTGCAGTTGAGACTTCACTTAGCAGCTTATGAGGCTAATACCATATTACTTACATCTAATCCCATCCTGTCATGTCCTTTACAGTTCACATTACATTTGAGTCATTTAGCAAAGACTTACAATTAGAGCGACTTACAATTAGACCTCTACATGGGCCGACCTAACAACCTCTGAGCTCTCCAAGGGGCCATCAAGAAGTGTCTAGAAAGCTATCACTAGGTTATGCATGGAAGCCATTTTGTGCCTCACATATTGGCAGTTGCACAAGAGAGCCATCACCAGCTATGGTGTAGTGACAGATCCCTCCTGCTGTTCCCAGGTGTTTGACGTAGAGACGGCGGCCATGTTGTTGGAGATCCGGACCAGTCGTCTGAGCACGGTGCAGTACTGTCATGCCTGTCCCAGCAGCAACCTGGTGGCCATCGCACTGTCACACTATGCTGTGGAGGTACACACACACACAGCCTGTTCACTGTCTTCCTGTTACATTGTTTTTAAAAATTGATTTCACCTTTATTTAACCAGGTAAGCCAGTTGAGAACAAGTTCTCATTTACAACTGCGACCTGGCCAAGATAAAGCAAAGCAGTGTGATAAAAAACAACAACACAGAGTTACATATGGGGTAAAACAAAACATAAAGTCAAAAATACAACAAAAAATACAACAGAAAATATATATACAGTGTGTGCAAATGTAGCAAGTTATGGAGGTAATAAATAGGCCATAGTGCAAAATAATTACAATTTAGTATTAACACTGGAATGATAGATGTGCAAGAGATTATGTGCAAATAGAGATACTGGGGTGCAAATGAGCAAAATAAATAACAATATGGGGATGAGGTAGTTGGGTGGGCTAATTTCAGATGGGCTGTGTACAGGTGCAGTGATCGGTAAGGTGCTCTGACAACTGATGCTTAAAGTTAGTGAGGGAAATAAGTCGCCAGCTTCAGAGATTTTTGCAGTTCGTTCCAGTCATTGGCAGCAGAGAACTGGAAGGAATGGCGGCCAAAGGAGGTGTTGGCTTTGGGGATGACCAGTGAGATATACCTGCTGGAGCGCATGCTACGGGTGGGTGTTGCTATGGTGACCAATGAGCTAAGATAAGGCAGGGATTTGCCTAGCAGTGATTTATAGATGACCTGGAGCCAGTGGGTTTGGCGACGAATATGTAGTGAGGGCCAGCCAACAAGAGCGTACAGGTCACAGTGGTGGGTAGTATATGGGGCTTTGGTGACAAAACGGATGGCACTGTGATAGACTACATCCAATTTGCTGAGTAGAGTGTTGGAGGCTATTTTGTAAATGACATCGCCGAAGTCAAGGATCGGTAGGATAGTCAGTTTGGCAGCATGAGTGAAGGAGGCTTTGTTGCGAAATAGGAAGCTGATTCTAGATTTAACTTTGGATTGGAGATGCTTAATGTGAGTCTGGAAGGATAGTTTACAGTCTAACCAGACACCTAGGTATTTGTAGTTGTCCACATACTCTAGGTCAGACCCGCCGAGAGTAGTGATTCTAGTTGGGTAGGCGGGTGCCAGCAGCGTTCGATTGAAGAGCATGCATTTTGTTTTACTAGTGTTTAAGAGCAGTTGGAGGCTACGGAAGGAGTCTTCTATGGCATTGAAGCTCGTTTGGAGGCTTGTTAAAACAGTGTCCAATGAAGGGCCAGATGTATACAAAATGGTGTCGTCTGCGTAGAGGTGGATCTGAGAGTCACCAGCAGCAAGAGCGACATTGATATACACAGAGAAAAGAGTCGGCCCGAGAATTGAACCCTGTGGCACCCCCAAAGAGACTGCCATAGGTCCAGACAACAGGCCCTCCGATTTGACACATTGAACTCTATCTGAGAAGTAGTTGGTGAACCAGGCGAGGCAGTCATTTGAGAAACCAAGGCTATTTAGTCTGCCAATAAGAATGCGGTGGTTGACAGAGTCGAAAGCATTGGCCAGGTCGATGAAGACGGCTGCACAGTACTGTCTATTATCGATCGCAGTTATAATATCGTTTAGGACCTTGAGCGTGGCTGAGGTGCACCCATGACCAGCTCGGAAACCGGATTGCATAGCGGAGAAGGTACGGTGGGATTCGAAATGGTCTGTTTGTTAACTTGGCTTTCAAAAACTTTCGAAAGGCAGGGCAGGATGGATATAGGTCTGTAACAGTTTGGATCTAGAGTGTCATCGCGGCAGCTTTCCAATCTCTGGGGATCTCAGACGTTACGAAAGAAAGGTTGAACAGGCTAGTAATAGGGTTGCGACGATTTCGGCTGCTAATTTTAGAAGGAAAGGGTCCAGATTGTCTAGACCAGATGATTTGTAGGGGTCTAGATTTTGCAGCTCTTTCAGAACATCAGCTGTCTGAATTTGTGTGACGGAGAAGCGGGGGGGGCATGGGCAAGTTGCAGCGGAGGGTGCAGAGCTGGTGGCCGGGGTAGGGGTAGCCAGGTGGAAAGCACGGCCAGCCGTAGCAAAATGCTTGTTGAAATTCTCGATTATTGTAGATTTATCGGTGGTGATAGTGTTTCCTAGCCTCAGTGCAGTGGGCAGCTGGGAGGAGGTGCTCTTATTCTCCATGGACTTTACAGTGTCCATGGAGGTACACACACATGGTGGCTATCAAACTACTACACCATCATACGGTATGACATACGTCTATTCCCTCCAGCTGTGGGACATAGAGACCAATAAAAAGATGGCTGACTGTAGTGGTCACCTGAGCTGGGTCCACGGAGTCCAGTTCTCCCCCGATGGATCTCTACTGCTCTCCTGCTCCGACGACCAGACCGTCAGGGTAAGTGTGTGTGTGTCTCTCTGTCAGTAATTTGTCCAATCAGTCTTCATCAGTTAACCCTTTTTGTGCCATATTGTACTTAACTATTGAACCTTTTTAATGGCATAATAAATCTAATGCCGTGGTGTGTGTGTGTGTGTGTGTATCTCAGGTGTGGGAGACTAACAAGGTCCACACATCCTCGGCTGTCTGTCTGAAGAGGGACTCTGACGTGCTCTTTAACAACGGTGATGTCACCGTGGTCGCCGCCGACAATCGCAACAGACTGCAGGTGAGAGGGCTGGGCTGGACAAACACACACACACACACACACACACACACACACACACACAATGATGTCTTACAGATGTGACAGGGGTTAAGCCAGCAGGCTGACGTGTGTGTGTCAGGTGAGGAATGGGAGGACAGGAGCGGTGATGTTCCAGTCAGAGGAGCAGGAGTCTCGTATCCGCTGCACTGCTATCTGCACACAGACCTCAGCCGTGGGGCTGGGACGAGAGGATGGGACCATACAGGTACGCTCACATATACACGCACACACACCTTTACCCATACCTTTACCCCCACACACATACCATAAAGCAAAAATCTTCAAGGACGAAGAAGTAAGAAAATGCTTACATATAATTTATGCTTAACTTGACAAAAGTGCAGGTGCTATGAGGGAAAAGTGCCAGAAATGTAAACGGGTTTTTGGCTGGAGAAGACAGTATCACTGCCAAACTTGATACAGACCAACTGAGCTGTAAGAAAGGCAGGAAGATACATTTTTGCAGGTAAAGCTGGACACCATGTTACATCAAAACTAAGTTTGACAGTATTACCACCGGTGCTGTTCTAGTAGTGTTGTGACTATTGTGGTCTGCCTATGCATGGAAGAGTTGGTCAAAGTGGTATGTGTGTGTGTGTGTGTGTGTAATAATAATGCTCACCTTGCTGGGGGAGGCGTTTGTCACGTCCAGTAATGGCTGGTGACATTGTGCTGCCACCCTCTTTGCCTGTCAACCCTGTCTCAGCCCTACTGCACTATACGGTACCCAGCCCTCTCTTTCTCTCTCTCTGTCTCACTCTCTCTTTTTCTCTCTCTCTTTCCTTATCTATTTTGTTCTGTCTCTTTCTGCCTCTCTTTTCTACTTGTCCTAAATGAGATGTTTCTTCCTCATACTCTCCTCCTCTTTTTAACTATTTTCTTTCTCTCCCTGTGCTCTACTCGCTCCATCACTCCCTGTCTCTATGATAAATGGTTGTTTACTGCGAGCAGATGAAGTCCTGGTCCCTTTCGTAAGGGTGTGTGTCCCTGAAAGCCGTAGTGAGTAGTGTCAGACACCCTCTGTCCCCTGGCAGGTGTGTAGTACTCTGTACTCCAGCTGGGGCCGCTCCTCGGGAACCTCTTTAATTAATGAAGGGGCCCTGGGGCCTGGGCTCTAACCAACACAGGGGTTAATGGATTATAATTAGTCAGGCCTCTTCACACACACACACACACACACAGGCACACACACAAGCACACACACAAGCCTGGGTGTCTGTCTACTCTTCTCACTCAAGAGAGGGAAGAGGACAGGGGGAAGTGGACAGGGAGAAGTGGACAGGGGGAAGAGGACAGGGAGAAGTGGACAGGGGGAAGAGGACAGGGGGAAGAGGACAGGGGGAAGAGGACAGGGGGAAGAGGACAGGGGGAAGAGGACAGGGGGAAGAGGTCAGGGGGAAGAGGACAGGGGGAAGAGGACAGGGGGAAGAGGACAGGGGGAAGAGGACAGGGGGAAGAGGACAGGGGGAAGTGGACAGGGGGAAGTGGACAGGGGGAAGTGGACAGGGGGAAGAGGACAGGGAGAAGTGGACAGGGGGATGAAGGGATAATAATAGTTGAAATGTGTGGAGCTGAAAGACACTGCAGGGTTGTGTAGTATCAGTGACTTGATATGTGAAAAGTGGGCACACCATGAAAATGTTGGTTTCACTGTGAGTATACGCTGTGTTCCATTACATCTAATTCCTCTCCTTTACACCAGAGGGAGCTGCTGCTTTGTTTCCTTCCAGGTCTGCTGCTGCAGTAGGCTGCCCCCCTCTCTCTCTCTCTCTCTCGCTCTCTCACTCTCTCTCTCTCTCATTGTCATTGACTCAGTTTGACGCATGCCTAGCATTCTAGTCTTCTTTCTGGGCCGTAATTGCCACTTTGATTGGCTCTGTTCTCTTCTCTGTTGAAATGACATGCTGTTTTTCTATTAAGAAGGAAAAGAGGAGAGGGTGAGCTGGAGAAAGAGAGGGACAGGAGTGCTGCAGAGGGCAGAGAGTGACTGTGTGTGTTCGTTCTATCCAGGCAGGAGGGATGACAGTTAGGCAGGTGCTGAGGACCATCGGATGGAGGACTCTACAGCTGCTGACCTCTCACAGGGGGTTGGTGCTGGCGTTAGGGCTAGAGACAGGCAGTGTGCAGGTATGGTAGAGTGAAATGGCATACAGTTGAAGTCGGAAGTTTACATACACTTAGGTTGGAGTCATGAAAACTCGTTTTTCAACCACTCCACAAATGTATTTTTAACAAACTATAGTTTTGGCAAGTCGGTTAGTAATTTTTCCAACAATTGTTTACAGACAGATTATTTCACTTATAATTCACTGTATCACAATTCCAGTTTACATACACTAAGTTGACTGTGCCATTAAACAGCTTGGAAAATTCCAGAAAATGATGTCTTGGCTTTAGAAGCTTCTGATAGGCTAATTGACATCATTTGAGTCAATTGAAGGTATACCTGTGAATGTATTTCAAGGCCTACCTTCAAACTCAGTGCCTCTTTGCTTGACATCATGGGAAAATCTAAAGAAATCAGCCAAGACCTCAGATAAATAACTGTAGACCTCCACAAGTCTGGTTCATCCTTGGGAGCAATTTCCAAACGGCTGAAGGTACCACGTTCATCTGTACAAACAATAGTACGCAAGGATAAACACCTTGGGACCACGCATCCGTCATACCGCTCAGGAAGGAGGCGCGTTCTGTCTCCTAGAGATGAACGTACTTTGGTGCGAAAAGTGCAAATCAATCCCAGAACAACAGCAAATGACCTTGTGAAGATGCTGGAGGAAACAGGTACAAAAGTATCTATATCCACAGTAAAACGAGTCCTATATCGACATAACCTGAAAGGCCGCTCAGCAAGGAACTGTTTGGCCATAATGACCATCGTTATGTTTGGAGGAAAAGGGGGGTACTTGCAAGCCGAAGAACACCATCCCAACCGTGAATCACGGGGGTGGCAGCATCATGCTGTGGGGGTGCTTTGCTGCAGGAAGGACTGGTGCACTTCACAAAATAGATGGCATCATGAGGAAGGAAAATTATGTGGATATATTGAAGCAACATCTCAAGACATCAGTCAGGAAGTTAAAGCTTGATCACAAATGGGTCTTCCAAATGGACAAGCATACTTCCAAAGTTGTGGCAAAATGGCTTAAGGACAACAAAGTCAAGGTATTGGAGTGGCCATAAAAAAGCCCTGACCTCAATCCTATAAATTTTTTGGGGGCAGAACTGAAAAGGCGTGTGCGAGCAAGGAGGCCTTCAAACCTGACTCAGTTACACCAGCTCTGTCAGGAGGAATGGGCCAAAATCCACCCAACTTATTGTGGGAAGCTTGTGGAAGGCTACCCGAAACGTTTGACCCAAGTTAAACAATTTAAAAGCAATGCTACCAAAAACTAATTGAGTGTATGTAAACTTCTGACCCACTGGGAATGTGATGAAAGAAATAAAAGCTGAAATGAATCATTCACTCTACTATTATTCTGACATTTCCCATTCTTAAAATAAAGTGGTGATCCTAATTGACCTAAGACAGTGAATTTTTACTAGGATTAAATATCAGGAATTGTGAAAAACTGAGTTTAAATGTGTTTGGCTAAGGTGTATGTAAACTTCCGACTTCAACTGTATGTGCGCGTCAGTGGAGGCTGCTGAGGGGAGGACGGCTCATAACAATGGCTGGAATGGAGTCAATGGAGTGGTATCAAACACGTGGATTCCATGTGATTGATACCACTCCGTTGACTCCAGTCCAGCCATTGTTATGAGCCGTCCTCCCCTCAGCAGCCTCCACTGTGTGCTTCGACCTGGATTCAAATAATATTAGAAATACTTTGTGTTTGCTTTAGTCTGCCTAGAGTGCTAGATGGGCAGTGTGTGCACTTTTGGGACTATTCCATTGGTCCATTGCACCAGGCTCAATCAAGTCCAGATCTTTTTCAAATAGTATTTGAACCTAGGTCTGGTGTGTGTTCCTTGACCTTCTCAAAGGGATTGTGATCAGTGTCAGGGTGAGGGATAGCTCAGTTACTGTGGAGTGATTTATTATTCAAATGGAGTTTAAAGTGCACGTCACAGCATATCTTCCTGTACGCTGCATTACACTAGGGAGGCTGCAAATGTGGATAAAAACGGTTCAGGGATCAGTACATGTTAACCCGCTCATCATAAGGTGCTTCGATGACCACTGCTCTCAGATCAGATCTGTGCCGCTTCGTTGATAAGCCAAACTAGTATTCCTAACGGTAACATGTTTTACTCAACTTTTTCCCCCCCATATCGCCCTGAGCACCCTCCCTGCTGCGTCATTCCGAAACCTTGAGGTGAGCTGGCAACCTTTTGAAACCCGTGTCCCAGTAGCATAGCAGAGCGTCCTCTGGTTGGCATGCCCTGAGGCTAGCATTCTCACACGTTTGTTTGAAGTGGGGTTTTATTTGAGAGGTTTAAATATTTTAGCACAAGGTGAATACTAGATTGAGATTTCACCTTGTGCTCAGTATGGAGTGTGTGTGTCTGTCTGTGTGTGTGTGTGTGTGCTTGCGTGCATGTGTAGCATTTTTCAGCTAAAGTTATGAGCTTGTGTGTTTCTTTGCCTTTTGGTTTATTGGTTGTCAGAATGTACACTTATATTAACATACATTATAAACATCCATAATGCTATTATGACTTTCCTCATCCTGATAATAAATACAGATCATTATCTCAATGCATTCTTAATTCTATTAATTTAGCAGTGTATATACCTACTACCCAAATTATCAAATGTAGATAAATCCAAGGTTATTATCAACAAAGCTAAGCAACCCCTCTTTCTCCCGGCACTTAAATCTTCTTGCGTCTCTTCATTATGTTCTTTAGACATCTTCACATTTCACAATGACCTGCCCATTACAATGTCACAACTTCAATGTCTCATTCGAGTCACCACCAACTCCACAACCTCATTGTCTTTTCCATTTGCCAACCATTATGCCCACATCGTTAAAATGTTGCATTCGAACATATCTTTCTCCATTCTCACTCAATGGTGGACTCCTTTCCCACTCCTTCAAGATAATAACATGAGAAAATCCCCCGATATTGTCACGCCCTGGCTCTAGGGACTCTTTTATGTTGAGCCAGGGTGTGTAGAGTCTATGTTTTGTGTTCTTTGTTTCAGTTTCTAGTTCATGTGTATTTATGTTGGCCGGGGTGGTTCTCAATCAGAGACAACGAGAATCAGCTGTTGCTTGTTGTCTCTGATTGGGTACCATACTTAGGCAGCCTGTTTGGCACAGTGTATTGTGGGATCTTGTTCCGTGTTGGTTTGTGTATTTGACCGTGGACTTCACGTATCGTTTTGTTGTTTTTGTTCGTGTGGTGAATATAAATAAAGTATGTTCGCATTCCACGCTGCGCCTTGGTCCGCTCCTTTTGACGATTGTGACAGAAGATCCCACCAATACTGGACCAAGCAGCGTGTTTCGGAGCTAACGCCGGGTAAGGAGATGGAGAAGTTGGCGATGGCCCAGGTGGGCCAATGGTGGTCCTGGGAGGACATGTTCGAGGGCAGAGGACCATGGGCAAAGTTTAAAGCCTTGGCGAGAGAGGAGGTACAGCGCCAACAGTGTCGTCGTCGGACAGGCGAGAGGCAACCCCAATACATTTTTAGGGGGGGGCACATGGCATGGACGACGGGACTGCTGGAGGCAGATAAGGGGCGAGTTTGTGGACGAGGAAGAAGGCCACCGGGTTACGGGTGATTAGAGGGAGGGAAAGTGTAGAGGCACGGCGAGAGGTACTGAAGTGTGTTGCCAGTCCGTTCCGGCCCGTTCCTGATCCCCTTTTAAGGCCAGTGGTGTGTGTTCCCAGTGCGGTCCGGCCTGTTCCTGTCCCTCGCACCAAGCCTGTGATGCGCGTCGCCAGCCCGGTCAGGCCTGTTCCTGCCCCTCGCACCAAGACAATGGTGCGCGTCGCCAGCTCGGTCCGGCCTGTTCCTGCCCCTCGCACCAAGCCAATGGTGCGCGTCGCCAGCCCGGCCCGGCCTGTTCCTGCCCCTCGCACCAAGCCAATGGTGCGCGTCGCCGGCCCGGCCTGTTCCTGCTCCTCGCACCAAGCCAATGGTGCGCGTCGCCAGCCCGGCCCGGCCTGTTCCTGTCCCTCGCACCAAGCCAATGGTGAGCGTCGCCAGCTCGGTCTGGCCTGTTCCTGCCCCTCGCACCAAGTCAGTGGTGCGCGTCGTCAGCCCGGCCCGGCCCGTTCCTGCTCCCCGCACCAAACCTGTGGTGCGCGTCGCCAGCCCGGTCCGGCCCATTCCTGCTCCCCGCACCAAGCCTGTGGTGCGCATCGTCAGCCCGGTCCGGCCCGTTCCTGCTGGCTGCGCGTCGTCAGCCCGGTCCGGCCCATTCCTGCTCCCCGCACCAAGCCTGTGGTGCACGTCGTCAGTCCGGCACAGCCCGTGCCCGTTTCACCGGTGCCTGGTCAGGTACCGGTCAGCTGCTCCACACCGGAGCCTGAGCAATCCGCTCCGCCGATGTCCAGTCCAGCTCCAGCCAGCGGGGCCAGACCAGACCAGGGGCACTACGGGGGGGGTTATTAGAGGGTGGTGGTCATGCCCGGAGCCGGATCCGCCTCCGAGGAGGAATGCCCACCCGGCCCTCCCCTGTTCGGTTTATGTTTGGCGCGGTCGCAGTCCGCGCCTTTGGGGGGGGGGGGGGGGGTACTGTCACGCCCTGGCTCTAGGGACTCTTTTATGTTGAGCCAGGGTGTGTAGAGTCTATGTTTTGTGTTCTTTGTTTCAGTTTCTAGTTCATGTGTATCTATGTTGGCCGGGGTGGTTCTCAATCAGAGGCAACGAAATCAGCTGTTGCTTGTTGTCTCTGATTGGGAACCATACTTAGGCAGCCTGTTTGGCACAGTGTATTGTGGGATCTTGTTCCGTGTTGGTTTGTGTATTTGACCATGGACTTCACGTATCGTTTTGTTGTTTTTGTTCGTGTGGTGAATATAAATAAAGTATGTTCGCATTCCATGCTGCGCCTTGGTCCGCTCCTTTTGACGATCGTGACAGATATCTTCGATTGGTTGTTGTATACCAATTGCATCTATATAAGTGGTATTTTACAAAAACGTCCTCAACGCCTCTGATATTCATCTTCAGCCGGTTCATAGTTTGTTACTTTTATTTATGCAGGTTCACACCATGCTAGGCCAAATTATCCCTACTATGCACCAAGACACCATCTGTATTTATCTCACTAGAAGACAAACATAACATTTTAATTGATTACATTTCTAATCCAATAAATCCATACAAACATTTACCATATGACAAATGATTATGTTTGAACAATTATTCTTAATACCAATTTCTAATATACTTCCCAATTTCTATTAGATATACCCTTTAAATACATATAACCGAATGGAACGACAGTCGGTTGATTCCTGAAAAATCTGGAAGATCTTGAAATCAGCCATAACCCACAGCTCATCAGTATCATTCCTCTGACATCGTCTTCCATCACCTGATAATTGTCATCAACAGCATCCTCATCTACCTCATCTCTAAATCGTCGGTTTCCTCGTAGCAATCTGTTACAGTGGTTGACATGAGATTTGGTCAATCTCCCCTCTATCCATACCTCCGTTGGTGTAGACTGTGTGACGATGCATGAACCTCCTTCCTTCACTAGTTCTATGATCATGCAGAGTCCTTCTCCATTTATCACCATCCCCCTTATGGAGTGTGTCCTTCAATCAGCGTACCAATAGTCCCTGCTGCAAAAATACACAGACAAAACAAAACAGGCAGAGAAGCCTTCACCTTTTGAAAGAAAGTCTGCATAACATTGTTAGTTGAGACACAGCATGCTACTTCATCCTTTCTTCTTATCAGTCCTGATAAACCTTTTAGATTAGGAAGTGCACAATCTTGCAGCTTGTTGCAGTCCACTCATGTCATAGAAAGGCCTCCTCTAAATTCTGTCTTATACCACCAATACATTTTCCCCTAAAACATTTAATCTAACCCATAACACATTACTTACTACTGCTCATATTCTTAATATAATTTTCAAATGTACCAATAAATCCTCATACCATCATTACTACCCCCTTTTTTGAACACGAGTCACAACGTGATTCATGCTTTCAAAAATAAAACACCAACATTGTTTATTAAATCATAATTAAAATGAAATTAAAATGACAGCATTTGATAATACCTCAATTTACTTCTATCCCGTAAAGTAATCCAAGATTAGTACAATTAACTAGCAACAGTTATCCCTCATTCAGGGAAAGCTCTCTCTCTCTTTTATAATTTGATGGTCCGAATCACATATATTATTACAAAATTATAAACTTTTTCACAATTTTCAGTTTTATAAATTACCCTCAACTCGGTAAAATAAACTATCTTAAAGTCCTCTTCTCATGCCTTTAGAATTACCAGTGTGGATGATCAAGTCACACTAGAAAGTCAAAACAGTTCAGAGGTCATTGAAATCATTCAACAAAATGTTCCATTCTATAGTATACTAAACATTACAAACATTCAAAACATGTCATAAATGTTACTTATCCCAAGTGTACATTAAGTCCTCATGACATTTCTTCTCATAAGAAATCATGTGTATACCCAAAACTCAGTCCCAACATTTTTTTTTTTCTTCATAGAATTCACTGTGTGCTCCTTTAAGATTGATCACCTTTGACCTGTTGAAAACTCCCTAAAATCAAAATAGCAACCCTTTATAAACATCATACTAGGTGTCGTGTGTTTTATTTGAAAAACCCAATTGAAAACAACAAACAAAAATAGCCAGGCCTTACTTAATTTGGTAGCTCCCTTTCATGACCTAATACTGCCTAACTCCACTAAACTGTTCCTTGTGATCCCATATCAAATGATCCATTATTTTATTTTTTTATTTTTTATTTTTTATCGTGTACTTGATCCCAAACATAGGAATATCTCAGTTTCCCCTTCTATTCTTCCTTTCACCCCTGTAAATCTCCTATTTCATTAATTAGCCAATACAATCACGTACTCCGCTTAAGTAAGACATGATATTTTATCCCAGGCATCTATTTTAAATTGTTTGATACGTTGTCTCCTACTTTACCCTTAACAAAATACTATAGGAGACTTCCATCAATCCTGGGAAAAAAACTCCCACTTAGAAGACACTAGATAAAAACACGTTTCATTAAGTACACTACACCTTCTAATATAAACCTATAACCCATTTCTGTTAATTTAATCCTCGAAACCTGTTGCATTGATGTTATAAAATATAAACCTATTGTTTAATAACTTCATAACTTACAAAAAATGTTTATTTAATCCATCATCCTAATAGTAAAAACGATATCCCATTGTTCAACATACCATAAACAGATTATCATTAGTTTAGAACCAATGAACTGTCTGCATAACTCAGTGTTATTTACACAAACTATATAATGTAATAATAATAATTACCAATGATCAAATAACATTCCATATTCAACTATCTAGACATGTTCTTCATATCATAACCCCAATGCTTCCTACCTATGTCAATATAGCCCAACTATCACTACTTCCTGTCACCCTCTTACGAAATCATGTCATTAGTAAATCGTATCCACAAACCACTACTACCTAATAACATATTTTCATAGACCTTGCTAGAAATAATTATTTTAATACCAGTCTACTTAAGCAATCCAATTCAACCTTTCACATCTCCCAATAAACCTATTTAACCTTCTTCAAACAATTCAATTCAACATTAATTCAACATGTCTCGTCACCCAATGAACTTACTTACTTTGTAAACCCTCTACAATATCTATTATTCTCTATCGCTAACTTTCCATATAACGTTACCTCAACAAAATATAAATTATTGTGAAGTTATAGTCAAAACAAATAAAACATATATTCACCGATATGCAACTTTAATTACTATGTTATACTATTCGCTATGTGCTGGTAAGACAATTCCTTTCACGTAATGTTATCAATTCATCTTAAAGCTCTTTGACGTTCATCGAGACCCAGTTGCTAACACCCACATACAAAAATGGAAACCCCTTCTTACTAGTATACCAAATAACATCCATGCTCAAACCGCGTTCTACATTTACCTCTATCGTAGGGTTTAAAAACTAACGTAACAACATTAACCATCCTAAATTGCTGTAGTAACGTCATGTTGGTTCAGTTTATCTATTACGATAGTATGTCCATAATACTTCTAACAAAGCTACATTATCCCTAGTGTTTGTTTAATATTCCTATTATTCTCTAAGTTCCCTTGCTTCACTTTTCATGAATATAAGACATTCACTTCTCCATGCGTCGTAAACTATATCCTATTTCCCCTGCAATCAACTAAGGTTATAATCACAGCTCATCTGAAAACAACACTCCTCCATTATCAGAATATAGCAGATGTAGGTAACTATCCTTTCTACGTAGGCTACAAGTAAGACCAAACACTTGCTGTAGTTTACCATCATATATTGAATTCATATCCATATTATCAATATCCAATGTATTTATAGACATTACGCCACCATTCTCAATCGTTTAATCTAGCAAACCCTTAGTCAACGCCCTAAAATAAATAACTACCACTCAATCGTCTCGCAATTCCTGTTAAATAAGTGAGTATTTTTATTTAAACCACGTACCACGCTACAAATCTTCCCTTCTACATCACCAAACCAAATACTTTGTAGTATCCATTCAAGCAACACATACAATCATATGAATTACACTCATAAATACAGATTTTAGTCAGTACCATTGAACCGATGCCTTTTGAAAAGACAATAAGTCCCACAAGTAGCCCAACTACAATGGTTTGTAGTCTTAACCTCTGGTACATAATAACGACACAATTTCAAGAAAATAGCCTTAAAAAAATATTTCAAGTGTTTCTTTGCAAAGATCTCACATGCTCAAAATGAATAAATTAGCAATCAACGAGTCAGAAAACACAGACTTTCCACTACTCTCTAAAATAACATCAAGCTCTATTTACCACTCCTTGATATTCTATGACCTTATTATGTTATATATCGTAACTTCTTATCCAAACTTATATCAAATTATTATACCCATTTATAGAACTTATTTTGCACCCTTCAGATTCAAATTACCTTCTGCTCTTTGTTCATAAAATAGCCCATGATGTCCCATTAAATTACTTAACTTTACATTACTTTTACAAAATACTTATTCTAACTGCGGATTTGCTTGTAATAATTTCGTCATTTCCTGTCTCTCACTTCGAATTAAATGAAGCTCTGATTTACTCTTAATGGTGACTTTTTAAAAATATATATATACCGGTCTACTAAGCTGGCCATTGATAACTGTTATTAGTACATGCAATTGTTAGTAATTAAACACTTCTAAAATCTCCATCCTGATATGTATTAAAATCTAGTTTTCCTTTAAATGTCATTTTGGTGCTATGATTCAATATGTTACATTTAATCGGCTCCCTCTCCTGGCCGTTTTGAGTATTTCACCATCTATTTCATTTTATGATGTTCTCCCACATCTAAAAGGTCTGTAATCTATTATTTTATAATGTCTTACACACTACGGGACTAAAAACCAACTCTATTTCATTTTATGATGTATCCTAGCTTACATCAAAGGTGCCTTGCCCATTCTCTTTATGATGTATCTAACATCAAGGGTTTACCTGAGCCCACTCTTTTTTATAATGTACTGTTTTACATTAATGAATTAATCCACTCTCTCCTCATGATGTACTTAACATCATAGATGCCCTGCGCCTATTCGTTTGTCCACTTATTGCCTTTACTCAGTACTTTAAACACACTCTATTTTTGAATCATAACACCATGTCATAGTCCAATGTGATATTCTCCTTACGTCCCTTACATAACTCAATACCACTCATCGTCCCCCTTTTAAAATATAGAATTTTAAAAGTCAGTTACAGCTAAGCCTTACCACAGATAAGCAGAATTTGACATAATCCAAAAAAAGTCTGCTTACCTGTTAGTTTGGCTGTGAACTGCATCCTGTTTGTTTAGACGCCAATCTGTTATGATGAGTTTCTAGTATTGAGAAGTGAGGATGCAAGAATTTACTTAGACATTCTGTGGAGATTTTATACCAAGTATTTATTGGATCACGAGCTCGTGGGTTCATCTAACAAACGGACATAGCCTTGCCCCCATTGTCAGTTGAACTGCCCACACACACAAATCTCACAGTTTTTATACTCTTGGTTATCCTTCCTTTCACATACATCTGGCAACCATCATAGGCACTCCCTTTCTGATGTTATTACTCTTTACCCCAAGTCAGTATATCCAGTATATCCTGTCCATCCATCATGCTATCCTAAACATCAGTAATCTCCTTTGACATAAGGAATGTTGACTCAGTGGAACCAAGTCAATTATCCCCTAACTCTTCCCTTGTCCACACAATACTATGACATGACATCATTACAACTACAGATATCATACCAGGAGGGTTAATTGAGTTTAATTATTTAGTGATAATAGTAATAGACTTCAATTATGACCCCTGTTGTTTCTCAATCGTAACATTTTAGTTAATAACTTAAGTTTAATCACTTAATTAAGTTTGCAATAATATCCAATAGTTCAATGTCAACAAACTACTCAGTCAAGTTAGCGAAGACAGCATAGAGCCGTAACTACATGGAACTCTATTTCGCAACATGTTAGCAAAGACAGAGCAGGAAGTTTCTAAGACAGTACTCTAATGTGCTCTAGGTTGTCAGAGTTGCCATTGTCTCCCTTATAAGATTAAAGCCAGTTCTTTGAGCATCAGAGCTGCTTTTTCTCTTGCTCTGACAGTATTGTCTGTCAGACCCTCACTCAAAGCAGTCAGGGCAGATCTGCCGTCCGCTGTCCGACAGGGCTGATCAATAGCACGCAGAGCCCGGTAATCTTTAAAAAATGTCCTTTTTAATGAGCTTCTCTCTGTAAACCCAACCGCTTTGCTTTGGTCTCCTCCTTCATTCTATATTTGTATCTCTTTATCTTTTACGAGTTTTGGTCTAGGCTTACCCATAGAAGACAGTGAGAAGGTTATCAATTTATCCTCCCAGATTTCCCCTCTCTAAATATCTCTGTCTTCCCTCCTCTTCCCTCTCACTTGAGCAGTTGCTTGTTTTTACTCTTTTGGGAGCTAAATGTATTGTATTTTTTCTAAGTTTAATATTCTGTTAGTCAACACCTCTCCAACTTTTTGGGATGTGTGTCAACTCATGCTTTTAAATAGATAGTTTTTTCTCTTTTGACACAGTAAAAAAGGATTGAAATGGAATCATCTGTCTCTCCCTCACTTTCCCTCAACCCCCCCCCACCACATCTCCCTTCTCCTTCCTCCCTCTCTCCCCCCAGGTGTTGGAGGTGCCGTCGGGGACCCCCCTAGCCACTCTGCAGGGTCACACCAGGACAGTGCTCCACTGCCAGTTCACCCCAGAGGGACACACACTGATCACCTCCTCTGAGGACACCACCATACGGGTGGGGCTCTTCTCTCTCTCTTCCTCATCCTTCTATCTTCTCTTCTTCTTCTCTTCTATGGTTTGTTCTTTCCCTCCATGTGTGTGCGTGTGATGTTTTCGGACTGTTCCGCTCTGTCACCCCTAACAGCTCTCCTCTACTGTTCCACCTCACTGAACATATCCTCTCATCTCCTCTCCTCTTTTTCTCTCCTCTCCTCTGTTTTTAGGACAGCCTGTCCACTGCTAGACCTATCTGCTTATTATAAGTATACACACACACACACACACACACACACACACACACACACACACACACACACACACACACACACACACACACACACACACACTATCCAAAGCACCACCTTGCTGCCTATCAGAACAGCACAGCCTCACTCTGTATTCATCTTACTCTATATTCCCTTACTATCAATGGGCCATCTCCTGTGTATTCCCTTACTATCCATGGACCATCTACAGTGGGGAAAAAAAGTATTTAGTCAGCCACCAATTGTGCAAGTTCTCCCACTTAAAAAGATGAGAGGCCTGTAATTTTCATCATAGGTACACGTCAACTATGACAGACAAAATGAGAAAATAAAATCCAGAAAATCACATTGTAGGATTTTTTATGAATTTATTTGCAAATTATAGTGGAAAATAAGTATTTGGTCAATAACAAAAGTTTCTCAATACTTTGTTATATACCCTTTGTTGGCAATGACACAGGTCAAACGTTTTCTGTAAGTCTTCACAAGGTTTTCACACACTGTTGCTGGTATTTTGGCCCATTCCTCTATGCAGATCTCCTCTAGAGCAGTGATGTTTTGGGGCTGTCGCTGGGCAACACGGACTTTCAACTCCCTCCAAAGATTTTCTATGGGGTTGAGATCTGGAGACTGGCTAGGCCACTCCAGGACCTTGAAATGCTTCTTACGAAGCCACTCCTTCGTTGCCCGGGCGGTGTGTTTTGGATCATTGTCATGCTGAAAGACCCAGCCACGTTTCATCTTCAATGCCCTTGCTGATGGAAGGAGGTTTTCACTCAAAATCTCACGATACATGGCCCCATTCATTCTTTCCTTTACACGGATCAGTCGTCCTGGTCCCTTTGCAGAAAAACAGCCCCAAAGCATGATGTTTCCACCCCCATGCTTCACAGTAGGTATGGTGTTCTTTGGATGCAACTCAGCATTCTTTGTCCTCCAAACACGACAAGTTGAGTTTTTACCAAAAGGTTCTATTTTGTTTTCATCTGACCATATGACATTCTCCCAATCCTCTTCTGGATCATCCAAATGCACTCTAGCAAACTTCAGACGGGCCTGGACATGTACTGGCTTAAGCAGGGGGACACGTCTGGCACTGCAGGATTTGAGTCCCTGGCGGCGTAGCGTGTTACTGATGGTAGGCTTTGTTACTTTGGTCCCAGCTCTCTGCAGGTCATTCACTAGGTCCCCACGTGTGGTTCTGGGATTTTTGCTCACCGTTCTTGTGATCATTTTGACCCCACGGGGTGAGATCTTGCGTGGAGCCCCAGATCGAGGGAGATTATCAGTGGTCTTGTATGTCTTCCATTTCCTAATAATTGCTCCCACAGTTGATTTCTTCAAACCAAGCTGCTTACCTATTGCAGATTCAGTCTTCCCAGCCTGGTGCAGGTCTACAATTTTGTTTCTGGTGTCATTTGACAGCTCTTTGGTCTTGGCCATAGTGGAGTTTGGAGTGTGACTGTTTGAGGTTGTGGACAGGTGTCTTTTATACTGATAACAAGTTCAAACAGGTGCCATTAATACAGGTAACGAGTGGAGGACAGAGGACCCTCTTAAAGAAGAAGTTACAGGTCTGTGAGAGCCAGAAATCTTGCTTGTTTGTAGGTGACCAAATACTTATTTTCCACCATAATTTGCAAATAAATTCATTAAAAATCCTCAATCCTCAATTTGTCTATCATAGTTGATGTGTACCTATGATGAAAATTACAGGCCTCTCTCATCTTTTTAAGTCAGAGAACTTGCACAATTGGTGGCTGACTAAATACTTTTTTCCCCCACTGTATATTCAAATGAATACTGTTTGGGTTGCTTTGCTGAAAAGGGAATATTTGGTAGATAGATTCACTGAGGAAATGCTGACCTATAGGGAATGTGAATCGCTCTACACAGTAAACATAGCTGTTACTCTGATGACCGCTGACTTCTGGAGCGGTGAGGGGGATGAATGGTACATTCACAAACCCACCATTGGTAAGAGTTTGATGTGTCAATAATTGTCTGAGATTTCTGCATAGGGGCCAATAGACTGCCCAGTGTCCATTCCTTCCTAGCAGCTGAATACTCACCTGGTGATATAGGTGGGTTATCAGGGCGAGAGATAGGAGGCTGGGTGACTAAAGGGGTGGGGGAGGGGAAGGGGGAAGAGACGCAAAAAAGGGGGGGGGATAGAGATGCGCGGCAAAGAAGAGGTAGAGATAGAAGGCCCCAAGTACGAGGTATGATAGTTTCTGGGCTAGAGGGCGAGGAAAAGAGAGAGAAAACCTCCCTCGGTCTCCTCTCGTCTCTCTTTCTGTCTCTATCTTGTCGGGGGGCCCCCGGGGGGTTTTTTCCTACTCTTCGGTCTCTATGCCTTCTGCCTTCTGTTCTCTCTTGTCTCTCGCTCATCTCTCTTTTCCCCTTACTGTTTTACTTATGCTCATCTCTCTTAAATTCTCGTCTTCTGTCTCTCTTGTCTCTCGGCCCTCTGTCCTCTTCTTCTCTCTCTCTTCTCTCTCTTTTTCTCTCTCTCTCGCTCCTCTTTCCCCCTCCCCCTCTCTTCGTTTTTCTGTCTCTGTCCTCTCCCACCCCTGTAGGTGTGGAGGTGGAGGACAGGTGAGTGTGTGGTGCTGGAGGGCCACAAGGAGCAGGTCAGATGCTTCTCTCTGCTCACCACCTCACCCTCCTCAGAGACACATCTCCTCAGCTGGTCCTTTGACGGCACCATTAAGGTAATACAACCCACGTATGCAGTACATTAGACAGACAGACAGACAGACAGTAAGACCGAGATAGATTCATGCAAAACCTGTTAAAAGCAACATGTTACGATCAACGTGCACTTACATGAACTAAAGAATGTTTACTAGAGGGAGGTGAGGGAGGTCCCCTGTAGCTCAGTTGGTAGAACATGGCGCTTGCATCGCCAGGGTTGTGGGTTCGTTTCCCACGGGGGGCCAGTATGAAAAATTTATGCACTCACAAACTGTAAGTCGCTCTGGATAAGAGCGTCTGCTAAATGACTAAAATGTAAATGTAAGGTGACACAGAAAGCTGTTTCTCGCCTCTCTCTCCCTCCCCCCAGGTGTGGAACATGTCTAGTGGTGAACGGCTGCAGGACCTAATGTGTCACCAGGGAGCGGTGCTAGCCTGTGACGTGTCGCCTGACGGACAGCTCTTCGCCACCACCTCCGCCGACAAGACCGCCAAGGTAAAACACACACACACGTGTCATCAGTATGGGACAGAACGTAGCCTAAATCCTTAGATCTGTGTGAGACAGACATGTTGTCTTTATCATGATCCTTTCACAAACGTTTGTATAGTGTGCATTATTATGTGGACAACTAAAGGTAATTGGTAGCTTGAGGTGGACATGAAGCAGATGGTTACTGCGGTTGTTAACTTAGCCAGCGGTCAAGCCGCCCACTCGCCTCCCTGTCTCTCCAGCGGTCAAGCTGCCCACTCGCATCCCTGTCTGTCCAGCGGTCAAGCCGCCCACTCGCCTCCCTGTCTCTCCAGCGGTCAAGCTGCCCACTCGCCTCCCTGTCTTTCCAGTGTTCAAGCTGCCCACTCGCCTCCCTGTCTTTCCAGCGGTCAAGCTGCCCACTCGCCTCCCTGTCTCTCCAGCGGTCATTAAGTCTGACTGCAACCTACAGACCGTACCGCTGCCCTCTCCTCTCCTCCTGCCTAGCATTGTGTGTGTGTGTGTGTGTGTGTGTGTGTGTGAGAGAGCAGGCTGCTGCTGTGCGGTTGACTTTGATTGACACTGTGGGTTGGGACAGGATCTCTCCTCTGACTAGGTTTTCACTCTGTCACCTTCCTGTGTTTTTGACCTGATCTATCTTTTGTTTCTTTCTTTCTTTTCTTTCTTTCTTTCTTTCTTTCTTTCTTTCTTTCTTTCTTTCTTTCTTTCTTTCTTTCTTTCTTTCTTTCTTTCTTTCTTTCTTTCTTTCTTTCTTTCTTTCTTTCTTCTTTCTTTCTTTCTTTCTTTCTTTCTTTCTTTCTGTCTTCTGTCTGTCTGTCTGTCTGTCTGTCTGTCTGTCTGTCTGTCTGTCTGTCTGTCTGTCTGTCTGTCTGTCTGTCTGTCTGTCTGTCTGTCTGTCTGTCTGTCTGTCTGTCTGTCTGTCTGTCTGTCTGTCTGTCTGTCTGTCTGTCTGTCTGTCTGTCTGTCTGTCTGTCTGTCTGTCTGTCTGTCTGTCTGTCTCAGGATCATTGAGTTGGTCACTCACTCTGTGGGAATGCCTATTAGGTCAGCATCCAAATTGTCATTGAATGATTGCATGTTTCTGGTGTGGCTACCGAGGTGTGGTAATGGCTCATAGCTGGTGTTCCCATTAACCACACTGTTTATTTCTGTTCACCAGACCAGCATGCTTTCATTAGTGCTTTGGACCTAGACACTCTGGTAATGATGTGTAATAGTAGTCTGAAGGGCTGGCCATGGTTCAGCCACACACAACAGACAGACAGAGAGACAATTTACTAAGAGTATTCTTTATTAGATGTACTTTACATACTGATGGGATTAAATTAAAATAGCATTATGGTATGGGCAGTATCATCTATCAAAGAAGCAGCTGGGATGCTTTAATTCATGTCAGACTTCATTATCAGTGAGCGCTTGTTCCATTCTTTAAGTTGAGCGGTCTACCAGCCTAGCGTCATAGAAAAACAATAGGCAATTAGGCCCTTCGGGGATAAATTAAGTTTATTCAGTTGAATTGACCAAGGCACTCTTCATATAGAAGTGGTCTAACCAAAATTGCTATGGCGTGTTCAAAATAACATATTTGAAAATTGTTTTATTTTATTTTAGACATTGGCTTTCGTCAGTAAGTGAAACCTTTGTAACCTCTGACCTCCCATTTCTCCTCTCATTGGCCCTCAGGTGTGGAGCAGTGCATCGTGGGAGTGTGTGTGCCCGTTGAACGGCCACAAGGACTGTGTCCGCAGCTGCCGCTTCTCTTGGGACGGCCGGCGCCTAGCGACCGGCGACGACAACGGAGAGATACGGGTGGGTAGGGATAGAGGGATGGAAGGGTGTGGGAGTGGGGAGAGGAGTGAGTGAGTAAAGGGGGGTGGGCATTAGGAGGGAAGGGTAAGTAACAGAGGGAGTGAGCACATGAGTGAAGGAAGGAGCAATAGAAAAAAAAGAGAGAGAAGTGCTGCACCTCTCAAGAGACGGAGAGGAGAGGAGAGGAGAGGAGAGGAGAGGAGAGGAGAGGAGAGGAGAGGAGAGGAGAGGAGAGGAGAGGAGAGGAGAGGAGAGGAGAGGAGAGGAGAGGAGAAGAGAGGGGAGGGGAGAGGAACAGGTGTGCAGGTCGGCAGGGGAGATGAAGAGGAAGGAAAGAAGGCAGAGGAGGAGTGTGATAGCAGGAGAGAAGAGGAAGTAGAAGACAGTCAGCCAAATTTAATCTCGGCATCTTCATAGATCCTAGAGAAAGAGAGAAGGAGAGATGGAGAACTAAAGAGAGAGGGAGAAGGGATGAGGGAAATGAAGAACAATTAAAGAGAAAAACAAGGAGTGAGAGAAAGAGAGAGGGACAGACTAGGGAATTAAGAAATGAGAGAGACAGAGGGACCTGTCTGTTCCTCTCCAATCACATTGTTGCTCTACCAGCTGCTTTCCACAAACTATCCCTGGCTGGCTGCCTGACTAGTCCATTTGGACTACACTCCAAAATTTGTGAGTACACTCCAAAGTTTTCAAACCTGAAAAGTGATCTAATGTCGAGATCTCATGCCACTTCTCAGGTTTGAAAACAACTGACAAACTTTTATTTTGGAGTGAACTGTCACTTTAAAATCATTTCATAAAATCATATCTCGTCAAGCATCCAGGGTTGTGTTCATTAGGCACCAAACAGAAGGAAACGGACTAATCCACAAGATTGAAATACAGTACATAGAGTCGAATATATGCCCCTCTTGTTTCAATGGAAACACATGAGTCATTCTCAGTGAATCATGCAAGGTGTTAAATATAGTATGTTCTGTGTCCTATATGGATAGGACAGTATGGCTCATGGTTGTTAGTAGCATAACTCCAGTCTTAAAATGGCGGGTTGTTTTGTGTCTCTATGGTGCTTTATTGATCAGTGAAATTAGTCATTGATTTGCTTGGAAAGGTACAGTTGAAAAGCACAAGATACTGTAACATTCAAGGACTGGATTCTTGCACACCTAACTGTAGATGACTGTATGCCTATAAGGTTGGTAGTCACCAGATGGCCATGTTAGAAAGTACTAAAGTAGCCCGAAAAGTACAGTAACTATTTGTTGTTGATTTTAGTTTGTAGTTCTGGTTAAGGTTGGGGTTAGATATTTTATGCTCGTCTAGTCAAAAAGGTTGTAAGGTTCCTGAGATAGAAGGTTGATAATAAGTCCCATGGCAGTCATACACCCCACCATTTTTAACTGCTAGGTCTCATTAATTTCTCTCATTTCTCATTAGTTTGTCTCATGTGTGTCTCCTGTCTCAGCTGTGGAACGTGAAGGATGGTACTCTGCTAAAGATCTGTTCCCGTGACAACAAAGACGCCATGGACTCTCTGCACGGAGGCTGGGTGACTGACCTGCACTTCTCCCCAGACAACACTGTGCTGCTGTCTACAGGAGGATACATTAAGGTAGGAGACACACACACGCTTGCACGGAGACACACACACTTGTACGGAGACACACACACAAACACGTAGAGACAGATAGACACGAGCGTGCACACACACACACACTAATGGGAACAAACCAAGGTTTAAAACACTATCGACCAGAGCCCCTGTCCCCTGGGGATTACATCATCACTGCCTGGTTAAAAAGCCAATCAGAGCCCGGCTGAGGCTGACCCCCAGGTGATCCGTCCTTCTGTAAAACTGGAGGTAATCAGAGAGGAGTAACACACACACTTACATACACGAACACAGACACAGACACAGACTCCACAATCCAATTAGGTCGAGAGAGGATGATATATGAAATCTCACTCTCACTGTGACTCCTGCTTTGGGAGGACTATAAACCTACGATGGTGTAAGAAAACTTGGGGGCATTACATTTTGCATACGTGGGCGTGTTGTGGTGTGGTGTATGCGTGGGTGGGTGGGTGTGTGTGTGGTTGGGTTTGTATGTGGTGTGTGTGTCGGTGGGTGTGGGCGTGTGTGTGTGGTGGGTGGGTGGGTGTGTGTGGGTAGGCGTGGGTGGGTGTGTGTGGGTGTGTGTGGGTGGGTGTGAGAGGAGAGATAGGGAGTTTCATGCCCGAGTGATTTCAGGGAAATTCAACAGCAGCATTTCTTATCTCACTTGTCTCCTCCACTCTGAATTCCAAAAGCCTTCCAAAATGTATGAAGCATGATATTAAACCAGTGATTTTAAGGTACATTGGATCAATGTAATGGATTTTTTTTTATTCTGATGCCTCTCCACACATCAACTCTCATGCTTGGCTCTTTTTATGTGATATTGAAGTGTCTGTTTTCAATCAAACTGGTTACCAAGTATCCAAGAAACACAAAATATATTGACTGCATGTTAATTTCAAACTTCCTGCTCTCGCAGTTGTTAGCTAGCCTTTTTTAAATCTTTCTTGGGAAATGAGCGAACTATTTTCTACTGATGAGAGCCCCAAGTCATTCAGCCCGTTGCGATCAGTCATTATGTTGTGCATAGTGTCAATGAGTCAACTCCATGGATACTGATGGAGAACTTAACCACTAAACTTAATGAGTCAACTCCATGGATACTGATGGAGAACTTAACTACTAGACTTAATGAGTCAACTCCATGGATACTGATGGAGAACTTAACTACTAGACTTAATGAGTCAACTCCATGGATACTGATGGAGAACTTAACTACTAGACTTAATGAGTCAACTCCATGGATACTGATGGAGAACTTAACTACTAATTATATCATTACCTCCTGATGACACTCGCTCTTATCCAGAGTGGTAGAACGACAGAATACATATACCTCTTCATCACTCTATCACTTCCTCTTTCCCCCTTTCCCTCATTCCATTTCCTGAGACGCGTTGACTTGATGGATCTGAGCATGTGTGGATGTAATGAGCAGTGATTGATTATTATGCCTGTCTGCGCTGAAGAGGCCAATCCCTTGTAATGAGCGTTGATTGATTTATCGTGGGTGAGAGGTGAGCTGTCAGTCATAATAATTGCCGTGGCAGCTGTGTATTCATAGTTCAACGCTGGCAAATTTAGCCTGGGGAGCTGTGGGTCAGAATAAATAAAATGGACTAATTGCATCTGTATGTATTAACAGTGGGCCTTATTCAATCCAAACCTGTATCCAGATTTCAGCTGGAAATTACTAAAAAAAAGATATGAGAGCCAGTTTCATCATAGCGCTTGATGGTTTTTGTGACTGCACTTGAAGAAACTTTCAAAGGTCTTGAAATTTTCCGGATGGACTGTCGTTTCTCTTTGCTTATTTGAACGGTTCTTGCCATAATATGGACTCGGTATTTTACCAAATAGGGCTATATTCTATATACCACCCCTACCTTGTCACAACACAACTGATTGGCTCAAACGCATTAAGAAGGAAAGAAATTCCACAAATTAACTTTTAAGAAGGCACACCTGTTAATTGAAATGCATTCCAGGTGACTACCTCATGAAGCTGGTTGAGAGAATGCCAAGAGTGTGCAAAGCTGTCATCAAGGCAAAGGGTGGCTACTTTGAAGAATCTCAAATATATAATATATTTTGATTTGTTTAACACTTTTTTGGTTAACACATGATTCCATATGTGTTATTTCATAGTTTTGATGTCTTCACTATTATTCTACAATGTAGAAAATAGTAAAAAAATAAAGAAAAACCCATGAATCAGTAGATGTGTCTAAACTTTTTACTGGTACTGTATATTTCATATGACAAAGCTTTTTTGTTTGTTTTACAAGATACAAAATGTTGAATTTATTACATAATTTATTACATTATCAACATGTATCACATTGCTCATTTATCACATTAGCGAGAAAGATTGACCCTATCCCCTCCTCTTTTCTCCAGACCATTTCCGGAGACCTTCTCCCTTACCTCACCTCGCTCATCAACTCATCCTTGTCCGCTGGCTATGTCCCTTCCATCTTCAAGAAAGCGAGAGTTGCACCCCTCCTCAAAAAACCTACACTCGATCCCTCCGACCAGTATCCCTTTTTTCTTTTCTCTCCAAAACTCTTGAGCGTGCCGTCTATAGCCAACTCTCCTGCTATCTCTCTCAGAATTACCTTCTTGATCCAAACCAGTCAGGTTTCAAGACTGGTCATTCAACTGAGACTGCTCTTCTCTGTGTCATGGAGGCTCTCAGCACTGCTAAAGCTAACTCTCTCTCCTCTGCTCTCATCCTTCTAAACCTATCTGCTGCCTTTGATACTGTGAACCATCAGATCCTCCTCTCCACCCGCTCCGAGTTGGGCATCTCCGGCGCGGCTCACTCTTGGATTGCGTCCTAACTGACAGGTCGCTCCTACCAGGTGGCGTGGCGAGAATCTGTCTCCGCACCACGTGCTCTCACCACTTGTGTCCCCCAGGGCTCAGTTCTAGGCCCTCTCATATTCTCTCTATACACCAAGTCACTTGGCTCTGTCATATCCTCACATGGTCTCTCCTATCATTGCTACGCAGACGACACACAATTAATCTTCTCCTTTCCCCCTTCTGATAACCAGGTGGCGAATCTCATCTCTGCATGTCTGGCAGACATATCAGTGTGGATGTCGGATCACCACCTCAAGCTGAACCTCGGCAAGACAGAGCTGCTTTTCCTCCCGGGGAAGGACTGCCCGATCCATGATCTCGCCATCACGGTTGACAACTTCGTTGTGTCCTCCTCCCAGAGTGCAAAGAACCTTGGCGTGACCCTGGACAACACCCTGTCGTTCTCCGCTAACTTCAAAGCGGTGACCCGATCCTGTAGGTTCATACTCTACAACATTCGCAGAGTACGACCCTACCTTACAAAGGAAGCGGCACAGGTCCTAATCCAGGCACTTGTCATCTCCCGTCTGGATTACTGCAACTCGCTGTTGGTTGGGCTCCCTGCCTGTGTCATTAAACCCCTACAACTCATCCAGAATGCTGCACCCCGTCTGGTGTTCAACCTTCCCAAGTTCTCTCACGTCACCCCAGTTGAAGCTCGCATCTGCTACAAGACCATGGTGCTTGCCTACGGAGCTGTGAGGGGAACGGCACTTCCTTACCTTCAGGCTCTGATCAGTCCATACACCCAAACGAGGGCATTGCGTACTTCCACCTCTGGCCTGCTGGTCCCCCTACCTCTGCGGAAGCACAGATTCCGCTCAGCCCAGTCAAAACTGTTCGCTGCTCTGGCACCCCAATGGTGGAACAATCTCCCTCACGACACCAGGACAGCAGTCACTGACCACCTTCCGGAGACACTTGAAACCCTACCTCTTTAAGGAATACCTGGGATAGTATAAAGTAATCATTCTACCCCCATCTACCCCCCCCCCCCCCCCCCCCCCCCCCCCCCCCCAAAAAAAAAATATATATATATATACAGTGGGGAGAACAAGTATTTGATACACTGCCGATTTTGCAGGTTTTCCTACTTACAAAGCATGTAGAGGTCTGTAATTTTTATCCAGAAAATCACATTGTATGATTTTAAAGTAATTCATTTGCATTTTATTGCATGACATAAGTATTTGATCACCTACCAACCAGTAAGAATTCCGGCTCTCACAGACCTGTTAGTTTTTCTTTAAGAAGCCCTCCTGTTCTCCACTCATTACCTGTATTAACTGCACCTGTTTGAACTCGTTACCTGTATAAAAGACACCTGTCCACACACTCAATCAAACAGACTCCAACCTCTCCACAATGGCCAAGACCAGAGAGCTGTGTAAGGACATCAGGGATAAAATTGTAGACCTGCACAAGGCTGGGATGGGCTACAGGACAATAGGCAAGCAGCTTGGTGAGAAGGCAACAACTGTTGGCGCAATTATTAGAAAATGGAAGAAGTTCAAGACGACAGTCAATCACCCTCGGTCTGGGGCTCCATGCAAGATCTCACCTCGTGGGGCATCAATGATCATGAGGAAGGTGAGGGATCAGCCCAGAACTACACGGCAGGACCTGGTCAATGACCTGAAGAGAGCTGGGACCACAGTCTCAAAGAAAACCATTAGTAACACACTACGCCGTCATGGATTAAAATCCTGCAGCGCACGCAAGGTCCCCCTGCTCAAGCCAGCGCATGTCCAGGCCCGTCTGAAGTTTGCCAATGACCATCTGAATGATCCAGAGGAGGAATGGGAGAGGGTCATGTGGTCTGATGAGACAAAAATATAGCTTTTTGGTCTAAACTTCACTCGCCGTGTTTGGAGGAAGAAGAACGATGAGTACAACCCCAAGAACACCATCCCAACTGTGAAGCATGGAGGTGGAAACATCATTATTTGGGGATGCTTTTCTGCAAAGGGGACAGGACGACTGCACCGTATTGAGGGGAGGATGGATGGGGCCATGTATCGTGAGATCTTGGCCAACAACCTCCTTCCCTCAGTAAGAGCATTGAAGATGGGTCGTGGCTGGGTCTTCCAGCATGACAACGACCCGAAACACACAGCCAGGGCAACTAAGGAGTGTAAGAAGCATCTCGAGGTTCTGGAGTGGCCTAGCCAGTCTCCAGACCTGAACCCAATAGAAATTCTTTGGAGGGAGCTGAAAGTCCGTATTGCCCAGCGACAGCCCCGAAACCTGAAGGATCTGGAGAAGGTCTGTATGGAGGAGTGGGCCAAAATCCCTGCTTTAGTGTGTGCAAACCTGGTCAAGACCTACAGGAAACGTATGATCTCTGTAATTGCAAACAAAGGTTTCTGTACCAAATATTAAGTTCTGCTTTTCTGATGTATCAAATACGTATGTCATGTAATAAAATGCAAATTAATTACTTAAAAATCATACAATGTGATTTTCTGGATTTTTGTTTTAGTTTCCATCTCTCACAGTTTAAGTGTACTACCTATGATAAAAATTACAGACCTCTACATGCTTTGTAAGTAGGAAAACCTGCAAAATTGGCAGTGTATCAAATACTTGTTCTCCCCACTGTATATATAAAGAAAAAAGAAAAAATGAGAAAAAAATAGTTTAAAAAATTAAAACGATTATGGTAAAATCTTTAAATAAAAAGGTAAAAGGTAATTTTTTTAAATGAAAAATAATAAAACGATACAAAAAAGATATATATAAAACAAATACAAATTATAAATATACTATAAAAATGAAGATTTAAAAAATTTGTAAAATAGGAAAAATAATATTGTAAAGTTGTTGTCCCACTGGCTATCATAAGGTGAATGCACCAATTTGTAAGTCGCTCTGGATAAGAGCGTCTGCTCAATGACATAAATGTAAATGTAAAGATGTCATGTTACCTGGAAACCATGTTACCTGGAAACCATATTATTATGGGTTTTGATTGATTAAGGCTTAGTTTGTACTGTAGCCTTGTCTGCCTGAATAAGACCATGTCTTTCCAAATGTTGTTTTTGTATCACGCTGTATGAAAACTAACTTGTGGAAGCAGCCAACAGTGAGCAGACCTTATCATTACAGACGTGTGTGTTCAGTAGAAGTGGTGCTGATGGGATCAGTGTTTCTGTAATGTTGATTCACTAAAGCTAGTCTCCCTGATGTCTGTCACCCCCTATTTGGCTCCTCCTTATGGCTTCCTGGAGTAACTTCCCACCATAACACTCACACTATCTCTATATTTAAAGGAGATTATCTCTCTCTCTATATTCTCCTCTCTCTGTCCATCACTGGTCCCATTCCATGCCCCCCCTCTGCCTCCTCTCTCTTTATTTACCTATTTCTCTCTCTCTCTTCATGCACTCTCTCCTTTTCTCTGTCTCCATCTCTAGTCCTTTTCCATGCCCCATCTACCTCTCTCTCTCTCTCTCTCTCTCTCTCTCTCTCTCTCTCTCTCTCTCTCTCTCTCTCTCTCTCGCTACCTCTCTCTCTCGCTACCTCTCTCTCTCGCTACCTCTCTGTCTCTGTCTGGTCCATTTGGACAGGTATTATCAGGTAGTGTAATTAAAAGCAGCAGGGTGTATGACCCTCTGGGAGCTGTTCCAATGCTTCCTTAAGCCTCTGAGACACCAGGATAGGACATCACGTGTGTGTGTGTGTGTGTGTGTGTGTGTGTGTGTGTGTGTCAGGGAGTGATAAGGTGTTTTGGGGCAGCTCTCTGAGTGAGGGTGTAATATCCTGCTGACCCCCATCACTCCTTTGTTCTCTGCCAGGTAATACCTCACACAGCCTGTCTTACACCTGGGAGACAGCCCCCGACGCACAGCTATACATCACACAGTCTGGCACACACCACACACGGAGACACGCACACAGACACACACACACACACATACACAAACATGCAGACACACACGCAGACACAGCTATGCACATAGGCACACTCAGAGAATCAGCGGGACCTCACAGATTCAGCAAGAGTTGCTGTGAGACAATCTGTCATAGTGCCATGATCCAAGTAGAGGTGGGACGTGTGAAGAGGCTCATCTTTACACACACACACACACACACACACACACACACACACACACAGCAGAAGACCCAGAGTAATTCACACCTAGCGCTCATACTTACAGAAGCTTCATATCCTCCTCCTCTCCCCTACACCTCCACTGTTGCTAAATCAACACTAGTCCTTAGGATTGAGTTGACACAGCATCCGTCCCAAATGGCACCCTATTCCCTATTTAGTGCACTACTTTTGACCAGGGCCCAACTCGCTCTGGTCAAAAGTAGTGCACTGTATTGGGGAAAGTGCGCCATTTGGGATGCAACCACAGACCAATATAGGTGCAAACACCTATCTTGATAACCACACAGTATTTAATTTATCATTATATTACTTTATGATGCTTTACAATACAATATTATACAGTACTATATGACTCAACATAGTGCTCTATATTAGTACATTATGGTTCTATAAAAGACTAATGCAAGGGAATAGAATGTTGAATTATCTCAATATACCAACATACAGTGCCTTGCAAAAGTATTCAGACCTCTTGGATCTCTTCACATTTTATTGTGTTACGAAGTGGGATTAAAATGGATTTAATTTTCATTTTTTGTCAGCAATCTACACAAAATACTCTAATGTCAAAGTGGAATCATTTTAAAAAAATACTTTTTTAAAGATTAATAAAAAAGAAATGAAATATATTAGTTGCATAAGTATTCAGCTCCCTGATTCCATACATGTTAGAAACACCTTTGGCAGCAGAACATAAAAGTATTTGATCCCCTGCTGATTTTGTACGTTTGCCCACTGACAAAGACATAATCAGTCTATAATTTTAATTTTAATTGATTTGCATTTTAATGAGGGAAATAAGTATTTGACCCCTCTGCAAAACATGACTTAGTACTTGGTGGCAAAACCCTTGTTGGCAATCACAGAGGTCAGACGTTTCTTGTAGTTGGCCACCAGGTTTGCACACATCTCAGGAGGGATTTTGTCCCACTCCTCTTTGCAGATCTTCTCCAAGTTATTAAGGTTTCGAGCCTGACGTTTGGCAACTCGAACCTTCAGCTCCCTCCACAGATTTTCTATGGGATTAAGGTCTGGAGACTGGCTAGGCCACTCCAGGACCTTAATGTGCTTCTTCTTGAGCCACTCCTTTGTTGCCTTGGCCGTGTGTTATGGGTCATTGTCATGCTGGAATACCCATCCACGACCCATTTTCAATGCCTTGGCTGAGGGAAGGAGGTTCTCACCCAAGATTTGACGGTACATGGCCCCATCCATCGTCCCTTTGATGCGGTGAAGTTGTCCTGTCCCCTTAGCAGAAAAACACCCCCAAAGCATAATGTTTCCACCTCCATGTTTGACGGTGGGGATGGTGTTCTTGTGGTCATAGGCAGCATTCCTCCTCCTCCAAATATGGCGAGTTGAGTTGATGCCAAAGAGCTCGATTTTGGTCTCATCTGACCACAACACTTTCACCCAGTTCTCCTCTGAATCATTCAGATATTCATTGGCAAACTTCAGACGGGCCTGTATATGTGCTTTCTTGAGCAGGGGGACCTTGCGGGCGCTGCAGGATTTCAGTCCTTCACGGCGTAGTGTGTTACCAATTGATTTCTTGGTGACTATGGTCCCAGCTGCCTTGACATCATTGACAAGATCCTCCCGTGTAGTTCTGGGCTGATTCCTCACAGTTCTCACGATCATTGCAACTCCACGAGGTGAGATCTTGCATGGAGCCCCAGGCCGAGGGAGAATGACAGTTATTTTGTGTTTCTTCCATTTGCGAATAATCGCACCAAATGTTGTCACCTTCTCACCAAGCTGCTTGGCGATGGTCTTGTAGCCCATTCCAGCCTTGTGTAGGTCTACAATCTTGTCCCTGACATCCTTGGAGAGCTCTTTGGTCTTGGCCATGGTGGAGAGTTTGGAATCTGATTGATTGATTGCTTCTGTGGACAGGTGTCTTTTATACAGGTAACAAGCTGAGATTAGGAGCACTCCCTTTAAGAGTGTGCTCCTAATCTCAGCTCGTTACCTGTATAAAAGACACCTGGGAGCCAGAAATCTTTCTGATTGAGAGGGGGTCAAATACTTATTTCCCTCATTAAAACATTTTAGACATTTTTTCTGGATTTTTTTGTTGTTATTCTGTCTCTCACTGTTCAAATAAACCTACCATTAAAATTATAGACTGATAATTTCTTTGTCAGTGGGCAAACGTACAAAATCAGCAGGGGATCAAATACTTTTTTCCCTCACTGTATGTGGGTATACACTGTATGTTCTATTCACTCAATATACCCAAATACACTGAGTGTACAAAACATTAGGAGCACCTTCCTAATATTGAGATGCACCCCCTGTAGATTCTGCGGTGACGTAGTGTTCCCATGAGTGACAGAACACTGAGCCAATCACGGCACAACTAAAGAAGATTACCAACGCCTTCTTCTCTGTATTTTCTGCTGGCTACCCCTCCACCACAGAAAGCACTGAGCTAGGCTGAAACACCTGCATTTTGGAGCTGCCTTACTCAAGAAAGAGACCATGTTTGTATGCGGCTTTATTAACTCAATATATCAATTTTTGTACATTGTTTGCAAACTGATATGTGACATGAATTAATGCCAAAATAACATGCCCTGAATGACGGGGCGCCACTGAGCACCACTCTCCACCACTTCAAGCATAGTGGTGGCTGCATCATGTTATGGGTATGCTTGTAATCATTAAGGGAGTTTTTCAGGATAAAAATGAAACTAAATGGAGCTAAGCACAGGCAAAATCCTAGAGGAAAACCTGGTTCAGTCTGCTTTCCACCAGACTCTGGGAGATGAATTCACCTTTCAGCAGGACAATAACCTAAAACACAAGGCCAAATCTACACTAGAGTTGCTTGCCAAGAAGACAGTGAATGTTCCTGAATGGCGAGTTACAGTTTTGACTTAAATCTATGGCAAGACCTGAAAATGGTTGTCTATCAATAATCAACAACCTATTTGACAGAGCTTAAATAATTTTTTTAAGAATAATGGGCAAATGTTGCACAATCCAGGTGTGGAAAGCTCTTAAAGACTCACAGCTGTAATTGCTGCCAAAGGGGATTCTACAAAGTACTGACTCAGGGGTGTGAATATTTATGTAAATTAGAAATGTCTATTTCATTTTCAATAAATTTGCTAACATTTCTAAAAACATGTTTTCACTTTGTCATTGTGGGGTATTGTGTGTAGATGGGTGAGAGAAAAACAAATAATTAATCAGTTTTGAATTCAGGCTGTAACACAACAAAATGTTGAATAAGTCAAGAGGTATGACTGCTTTCTGAAGGCACTGTATGTTCTGTTCTTTCAATATACCCACATTTATCAAACATATCCTCAGATCTCATACCATCCTTATTTAATCTTCATTCCCCTAGGTACTCTCTCACTCTCTCTTTCACATTAATCATGCACCGACACACACGTGTACAGACATACACACACACAGAGACACACACACATATGTCTCCAAACACACACACACACGTACACACACACAGACACACACACATGCGTCTCCAAACACACACATACGTAGATGGATGTGAGGAGTTTAGATGAAGGCGGTTGCCTGTCAGTAGTGTTGTCAGACCTCACTTCTCTTCTCTGGGTGATTGAAGACCAAGAGAAGACATCCAATCTTATCTTACCTTTTCACATTTGTGGTTGTTGCTCCGTCTCGATAGGACGTCTCTCACGCTCTCCTCTTGATGGTATCTCTATCTCTCTCTCTCCATCTCTCTCTCTTTCTTTTACTCGCTCACGTTGTGTCTCTCTCTCTCTCTGTCTGTCTCTCCCTCCCCTTTTCTCTTTGGCGTTCATTCTCAGTTTCTTTCACTTTTCATCTTCCCATTGGAACCCCTCTCTCTCCATCTCAATCTCTCTCCTTCCATCATAAGCTGTTGAACAGGGGTAAGAATTGGGTCGAATATGAGAGCTTTCTGGTTCTCTCTCTCTCTTTTTTTTCTCTCACTCTCTTTTCTCTCTCTCTCTTTCCTTTCTTTCTTTCTTTCTCTGCGTTATGGTTGTTAAGTGTGTGCTAACAAGACCCAGGCGGCCAGGGAGGGAGGGAGAGAGAGAGAGAGTGAGTCAAGGTTAATATGACCTTCCCCTGGAGAGGTGGAAAGGGGGAGAAAATAATGAGAGTACGTTAATGTGGGAGTGAGGGAGAGAATCATAGAAAAGAAAGGGTGAGAGTTAGAAAGGGAGAGAGAGATGGAGGTAAATTGTGTGATCTGTGTCCACCATAAAGCTAAATAATCCATCTGTAAATATCTCGTTCAGTTGCTGAAATCCTGTTAATAATGTTTAATAGTCAGTCGGCTAACAATATTGGACGAGAAACGTATATTATGTCGATGTTGTGCTGATTGGTCCGTTCAAGTCTCTTGATAACGTCACAAACACCTAGTTTAGTAATAAAAAGCCTCTCAGTTACCTTCCTATGACAACGGTGCATTTTCTAATGCTTGTAGATACAGCACTCTTACACAATAATCTATGTCGGTAAATAGATTGGATTAAGTCATTCGATAAGACATGGTGGAGTGAGTCAGTTGGAGAGAACCTTGTCAGTGTATGTCTGTTGCTTCTTTGATCAAGGCCTCCCCAGCCATAACACC